TAACTTTTCTGCTTTTAAAGCCCGAGTCCCAAATTGCGGGCCGCGCGGGTCAAGCTTTTAAAACTTGACGAACTAGTGTTTTCAAGGTTTGAAGAAAAGCGTGCCTGCAATTTGGGACTTTTGGGAACTGAACCAACCCCCAGGGCGAAATACGAGGGCGGGCTGGGTTTGGCGAAAAAAACGAAAAAAGCGAAATCGGAATCTTTCGCCAAAACCCTCACCACAAAAACCCCCTCGCGTCAACCTTTTAAAACTTGTGCAATTTGGGCTGCCGGCTTTAAAGCAACAGTATACTTTTGCAAGCGGGGGTTTCAAAAACCTTAGGAACTTGAAAAACTGGTTACGCGATTACAACCCCAACCCCCCCTTGTTGAGAGGCGAAGGAGTTCCCAAACGCCCCACGTCCGGCTCCCCGCACTCACAGTTCAAAACCTTAGGAATTGCAAAAGGAAACTGCAACTGCGGTAGTGAGAGGATAGCCCACACACTCCTACTTCAGTATGTCATTCCGCGTAGACTAGGCAGCATTCTAACCTAACAGCTAGAATTAGGGACAACATCTGTTACTGAACCACGTAACGATGTTTCCTCGCATGCGCGGACAAATCGCCACGCCTACGCACTCGCTTAGGCCACGCCACCTTAGACAAGGCCGCCCCACGCCTCCTCTCGCTACCTCACCGCAAGGCCATTAGCGACAGCGCCTCCCCTCCCCACAACGTCCCGTTTAGCCTCGACGCGCTAGCATCTGCATCCTATCCCTTCCTCCACTCCTAGCTCGCCGTCCGCCGTTCGCCGCGCGCGGTGAGCCGCTGCTTCCCGCTCGCCGCTCGCGTGCCCTCCCTTTCACGTTCGCCGTCCGTTGTTCGCCTTTCGCCGGACGACGTCCGGATTGAGACTCCTCTCGCCGAACCACGCTGCCTCGTTCTGGTTTATACCCATTCGCGGCTGCACGAATGCTTCTTTACCAGCTCGGTTCATCGGACTGGGCTCTACGTCTCCTCACGCGGCCCCATCGCGACCACCGCCACGCCATCTCCCCTTCCCGCCACGAAAACTCCTCTTCCCGCCACGTCATCTCCCCTTCCCGCCACTCCATCCCCCCTTCTCGCCACGTCATCCCCCCTTCTCGCCACGCCATCTCCCCTTCCCGCCACGAAAACTCCCCTTCCCGCCACGTCATCTCCCCTTCCCGCCACTCCATCCCCCCTTCTCGCCACGTCATCCCCCCTTCCCGCCACGCCATCTCCCCTTCCCGCCACGCCTACTCCCCTTCCGAGCACGCCCTCATTTCCCCTGCACGCCCTTATTTCCCCCCCTGCACGCCCTCGTTTCTCCCCCTCGAACGCCCTCATTTCCCCCTTGCACGCCTCATCCCCCCCTTTCACGCCTTCATTTCCCCCCTTGCACGCCCTCGTTTCCCCCCCCTGCACGCCCTCGTTTCCCCCCCCTGCACGCCCTCGTTTCTCCCCCTCGAACGCCCTTATTTTCCCCTTGCACGCCCTCATTTTCCCCTTGCCCGCCCTCATTTCCCCCTTGCACGCCTTCATTTACCCCTTGCGCGCCCTCATTTCCCCCTTGCACACCTTCATTCCCCCCCCTGCACGCCCTCATTTCCCCCTTTTCCCCATCTCCCCTCCCCATCTCCTCATCCCACCACCTCTCCCTGCCTTCCCATCTCCCCTTCATGCCTCCCACCACCTCTCCCTGCCTTCCCATCTCTTCTCTTTTCCAGGGCCTGTTATCCGCAACCCGCCCTCTTCAAACTGCTCCTCAAGCGCTGTCCTCATCAGCACCACCACTCTACCTCCCGCTCTCTGTGCCTCTTCCCTCCTTTGTCACTGGTCCACGCTTTGTCTTGCTTCTTGCTCTTCACATCCCCTTTTCCTCCTTCCTCCAGATCGCCCCATCCCTATCTCTCGCTTCCAATTTTCCCTCCATGTCTCCCCATGTTATTTTCCTTCCCACCGCCCACGGGTTTGGGACGAGGCCCGTCTGCCCTCTCACACTCGCCATGCCTCGCCATGCACTCGTCCTGCCATTCTGACTCAACCTGCAATTCTCACCGCCATCCCTCCCTGCCTTTCCATCACACCTCCCTGCCTTTCCATCACACCTCCCTGCCTTTCCATCACACCTCCCTGCCTTTCCATCACACCTCCCTGCCTTTCCATCACACCTCCCTGCCTTTCCATCACACCTCCCTGCCTTTCCATCACACCTCCCTGCCTTTCCATCACACCTCCCTGCCTTTCCATCACACCTCCCTGCCTTTCCATCACACCTCCCTGCCTTTCCATCACACCTCCCTGCCTTTCCATCACACCTCCCTGCCTTTCCATCACACCTCCCTGCCTTTCCATCACACCTCCCTGCCTTTCCATCACACCTCCCTGCCTTTCCATCACACCTCCCTGCCTTTCCATCACACCTCCCTGCCTTTCCATCACACCTCCCTGCCTTTCCATCACACCTCCCATCCTTTCCATCACAGTCCCTGCCTTTCCATCACACCTCCCTGCCTTGCCTCCCATGGGTATAGGGCCCCATTACTTACCGCTGTGACACCAGGTGTCATTCAACCCGTACCAGGCGGGTATGCATATGCAAAGCTGCCGGTTTTGCGTCCAAGTCAGCACCATATAAGTGTGCCAATTCCCTCTGCTCCAGCGACAAGCACGACAACGCCTGGGCCAAGAGAGCTTGGCAGTGTGGAGGGGCATTATGTTGCAGGAGTGTGTCGTGGCATGAACATGACACGAAGAGTATAGTGCTGTTTAGTATACTTAGAGATGATTGTATGTGTACATACGATACAACTCAATGTTCCTTTTGGACATCATTGCTGTGCTCATTTTCAGCTGTAGAGATGGCTTATAGAAAGGGGACAGACACCTGAAAGACAGATCACGTGGTACATATCAGATGCATGTGAACATCATTTGCAATAGAACTGTGATGTAACATTCAACTACTTTCAACACACAGTGGGAGCACATGCAAGCCTAGACTGAAGAGGACTGGTCCATCTTGTTCTATGCTGCACTTGAGATCCCTCAGTATGGAAAGGGAAGGCGGTAAACACGGTACTGGTGGTGAGGGTAGAGGGGAAGAGAGAGGGTAAGCAAAGGGAGGAGGGAGCATAAGCAGGGTAAAAAGGGAGGACAGAGAATAAGCAAACTCGAAGGAGCTGATTGGATTGTAAGGGGGTGGAGAGGCATTGCGGCAAGCAGAGGGGGAAAATGAGCGAAAGGAGGGTGAGAAATAGGGGAAGCAGGTGGGGAAGGGAGGATAAGCATGGGGGGAAAGGAGAGGAGGCAGGGGGGGAAAGGAAGGGAAGCCGTGGGGGAAAAGGGGGGAAGCAGGGAGGGAAAGGAGGTGAAGGAGGGGCGGTGAGGCACTAAGCGGTGAGGCGCTAAGCGGTGAGGCGCGCAGCGGGGTAGGAGAGACGCGGGTGACGCGCTAAGAGGGTGTCGTGAGCTGCGGGTTCGGCGATCGAGCTGCGGGTTCGGCGATCGAGCTGCGGGTTCGGCGATCGAGCTGCGGGTTCGGCGAGAACGTCGCCGGCGACGGGAACGCATGGAATGCGGCGCTTAGGACGAAGGCTAGTCCTACATCTATTGCGAGGCCTTTGAACGAGTCTATTCATGAGAGAGTGAGGTGTTTGTAGAAATGGTTTCTAAGTAATCTCGCGAGCCAGCCTTGTGACACTTGTCGCCTCGACACCAGCGTTTTTCTTTAGCGCCAGCGCTGTTCCTCGCCGCCCTAGTTGCCTATTGTATAGTTGTATCGAAGGCCTTTCCTAAAAATTAGTCGCTCCGTTGGTCTGTTCGTGTCGCTCCAGGGCTTGGGTTGACGGGAGACTTTCTCGTGTTCGCAACAATCAGCCATCCAAATTTTCGCCGATTCTCTCGCCAAGCCCATTCGCTTCTCGTTTGGGTTTGCTTTTGGTGGGTACTGTTCCAAAACAAACAGTACTTTCAAATGTATACCGCCGCTTTAAATGTTTGTTGATCGTCACCATAACTATGGCACTGATAAGAGCATGGAATCTCCCTCCAAAATAGTGTTTTTACGCTCGCAGCGAAGCGATCCGATACGAGTGATTGTACTGCACGCCACGCCAGCTGGCTGTGAAAATCGGCTTGACTGATTGGCTGCGACGCGCTACGTCTAGCGAACTCCCGTGGCGACCATTCACAGGCCAGAACAGGCAACTTCCACGTGTAATAACAGGCTTTACAAAGAGAGTGCAGTGCAAGAGCGTGTCGCACTGTACTACCGCACGTGTCGGGCGCGGCAGGAACAAAGCCAGGTTCAGAGGTGTGTACGGAATGAATGGGTCTGTATGCGGGTGCCATGCCATACCATGACGACAAAACTGTAATCGGTTCGGTTCAAGCAAGCGCAGCAGCTACCATAGAACAGATATGCGTGGGCTTGTTGTAGGTGGTGGGACATCGGTTGCGTATGGTTGGCTTGGTTTGGGAAAGGTTGGGCTTGGGGAATTTTCTGCGGCCTGCCCAATCAAAGAACCCGACAGCAAAGACATGTACATTTCCCACTTCCGAGTCGCTGCTTTCCATCCGAATCGCAATAGAGCTTGAGGTGGCGCGGTGCTGGAAGTATTATCCTGGCCGTCAGATGTAATTGGCCTGGGTAGCAAGTTCCATGTGTCGTCAATCCCGGAGTGCAAGGTACGATGTTTTCGGTGCTACAAGAACGCGCGAGAAACAAGGGACGTGGCTGTTCCGAATCAAGTCGCTCGTTCAGAAATCATTCAAATAGTGCATTCAGTTCATACGTTTGTCATAGAACAACATTTAATATATTGAGACACATCATTTACTACATTGAGCATAGGAGTGGCACTAATGGAAAGCACAAACTAGTTCACACACAAAAACACCTTATAACCCAATGATTTCGGCATGTGGGGGACATCTCTCAGACTTTCATCCCCCATACTATCCACAATTCTGTTCTCTAGCTTACCTATCTCACGCCCACCCATACATTTGTCCTGTCTTATAATGGTAGATAACAGCTGTAACAACACCAAGAATGAAGCCGCCAACCACCTGCAAGGGAGTGTGCCCCAGGAGCTCCTTCAGCTTCTTCTCGCTGATTGGATGGCCCTCCAGCATTTCTTCCACCACCACATTCAGAACCTGGGAAAGAGACACAAAAAGGGGGCGGCGGATGAAGCAAAACGATAGACGGAAAACACAAAATCTACATGGTGACTGGCATAATGTGCCTGCTGGACCCAAGCACTGCCAGAAGCACTGGCATATTGTTCCTGTCCTGTCGTTGTGAAGCAGTGTGTGTAAGAAGGGCAGTTATTGGTCATCCGCCAGAAGCTCCAGAGACAAGTCCTCAAGACGAGTTTGCTCTTCACAAGCAACGTGTTCGCATGGCCCTCTATTTTACTGAAAGGTCAGCTGTTTGAATTTGTCCTGCCACTCTGAAGGAAAACCACCGGTGGTGCATGCGACACCACCCACCCACCTGACACGGGCATCTCTGCTGCTGTAATCATTGCAAAAATACAAGCGTGGTTATGCTGACACCGGAGTGTAAATTCTCCTTTGCAGCTGCAAGGAGCGTACCTCTGCTTGCACGCCAGCGTGGTAGCGCACGTTGGTGGTGCCATACATGATGATGAGCGAGAACGCGAGGCAGATGGGGTCTGTTTTGCAGCAGCAATAGAATGCATGCAATGCAACACCACCCACCCCTCTGACACACATCTCTGCCACTGTTAACTTTGCATATTGAGTGAGGAGCGTACCTCTGCTTGCACGATGGCGTGGTAGCGCACGTTGGTGGCGTCAAACATAACGATGAGCGAGGACGCATCTTTGCTGCGGTGATCTTGTCTGAACTAGTTTTGCTAGCACCCCAAAAGATTGCCTCAATGCCTGGTCTAAACGTGCTGTGCAGAAGTAAGGAGCGTACCTCCGCTTGGACGCCGGCGTGGTAGCGCACGTTGGTGGCGTCATACATTATGATGAGCGAGAACGCGAGGCAGATGGGTTTCATTTGCGGCATCAAGGAGCGTACCTCTGCTTGTACGCCGGCGTGGTAGCGCACGTTGGTGGCGTCATACATTATGATGAGCGAGAACGCGAGGCAGATGGGGAAGAGCGGCCCCCCCACGCCGTGCAGCAGGGCGACGGAGGTGGTGACGGCGACGCAGAGCGCGGTGTGCGACGAGGGCATGCCGCCTGACGACACAACCATTCGGATGTCGAACTTCTTTTTGAAGTAGAGGTTTGTGAACACCTGCAGCGGGTGAATGGTTGAGGAATGGAGGGTTTTTTTGGCGAGTAGAAAGACGAGGGTATGCCGCCTGACGACACTAGCATTCGAATGTCGAACGCTTTTTTGAAGTAGAGGTTTGTGAACACCTGCAGCGGGTGAGTGAATGAGGGATGGAGAGATTCGGGGGAAGAACAAACGGGAATGGTAAGGGTGAAACGAAAGTGGGATGAAGAGGTGGTGGGCAAAGCCTCCGACATTCTCAGGCCAGGCGAGTGTCGGAAGGGTGATGGTATGGGTGACAGGCAAAAGAGGCGGGGCAATGTCACGTGAAGTTTCAGGAAAGAAGTAGGTCTCCTGAGCGAGTGAGAACCAGGCAAATGTGCTCTTTGTCACTCACGGCATGAGCAAATGAACAACTTTCAGTTGATTTATTTGCCCGACAATGAATAACTCAAAGCCCTTCGTTGTGAATGTGTGTGCATGTGGGTACTGTTGAATAGTGCATCAACGAGTTTCCGCATTTACAAGATTTGAGGCCTATTAATCTTCAGAGATTAACGAGCCGTGCGGCTTACCTTGAGGATTTGCGCGAGGGCCCACGCAATAAGAGCCGACATAAAGGTGGGGTTCGCGCGAAGGTTGGAGAAGAAAGTTGCCAGAGAGCTCTTGATGGAACAGGCCAGCGGCGCTGCTGACATGGCAGCGAGTGGCAATAGAGAGGGTGACGCTCTTCCTCGGACACTGTCAAAAAACGATGCTTCTAGCCGTTCCTCCTCCGCGTGTCTTTGCTGAGCGGCTTCTTGCACGCTTAATGGAACTGCTTCTGCCGCGTCCCGGAATGCCGCAGCAGCGGATACCACAGCAGCCACAGCAGTGGCCACCGTTGATCTTAGAGAACCGAACGGCTGGGAAGGGCTCGCATCTTTGACTGTGTCATCTAGAGGCGATGATTGTACGGCCATAAGCCTACAGTGACCTTTTGCAGGTGGGGACATGCCACGTGGACCTGACCTCGACCTCGCAGGGGTAGCGAACTTAGAAATGCGAACATTCCGCAGGGTTGCCTGTGTCCTGAGAGTTTTCGATTCTACCGCTCTGCTGGCAGACGGAACAGCACATTGACTTGGAAAAATGCCTGACGAGGATAACCTGGAGATGGAGCTCGTCTCCATTTCCGAAGGCTACCAACAATGGATTTCTGGCTAGGTAAAACCAAGTCGCAGCGAACTGATGGAGGAAAATATGACTGATGAAAAGACTCCGAGAGTGAAAGACGTATGCATTCGCTTGTGAAAAATAATGAAGACTGGACGAGCGCGACTAACCTCGGGATTGTCACTCTGAAATCCTCGGAAGCTCCTTGGGGGAATGCAGAAGCTGAAGGATCCTGTAAGCAAGGGTAGCGCGATTAGCAGCAGCATCTCAGCCTAGGGATTTACACTCCCTCCCTCCTGGCACAGTTTGGCGATCGACCAATCGCAGACGGCTGATCTGGCTGGACGCGGGAAGGGAAAGCGAAGCGAGGTTGTGGTGGGATCACTGCTGCTGTGGATAATTATCCAGCCACGCACGCACTTCTTGTTCCCGTGGATAGAAAATTTTGCACCTCCTGTGGGGAAGGAAAGGTGTCGCGGGCAGCCTTGGGATTCGTGAGAGAAAGAACTCTAATTGGATGGACAGGGAAGTGACAGGCTGACGTGGGGCTGAGGATCCAATAAAAGCTTGATGGTGCTGACAGAATCTTCTGGAGCTGGCTTCGCTATTGCGATAAGTCTGCTTGTGGTGGCTTCGAGTTTACAAGCTAAACCTCCAGCTAAAAGCAACTTAACGCTGTACCGAGGCTTCACAAACTGAATTGATTTCGCACTGACGAATTTGTGTTCGTCAACGCCGACTGCGAATTTCGTCATAGCAAGTTTTCAAATATTCGCTGCGCGTGCCAGCGCAATTTTATTTCCAAATTTCTGTTGGGGAATTTCACGAATTGGATGCGCCTCCGGTGCTTGATCACTGCACGCAGCGCAGGAGGACGAGCCGCGGAAATTGCAAATCGCAAACCAACGACCACCCAGCTGTCAAGCACATGCCATGCCCGATACCCATTTCTCAGGCCTAATGAACGTTGGGCTCAGCCTCATGATTGTGTCTTCTGTTTGACCCAACACCGATCAAGCCTAATTAGCAGCAGATAAATCAGAAGGGCGAGCCCAGTATTTGCAACTTACACCCTTTACCGACGGGCGAGTTCTTCCTTCAAGGCCTATATCGAGCGACTTATTCCTGCCATAATCAACCTTCGTCGAAGAAAGATGGCAGTCACTGCTAGCACAGTCCGGTTCTTTGTTTTGATTGTGGCCCTTTTGGAACTTTAGAATCAATCAGAACGTCGTCCGCAGCAAGCTGTCCGTCGTTCGCGGAGCCTCAAGCAGCCTGCAGCGCCGGAACCTGCGGCCACTATGTTTTCCGCGGAAAGTTCAATGTTTCCTCTTCCAAGAAATTTCAGTTGCCTGCAGCTCGAGGCGGGCTGAGGCTTGGGAAGGCGGCTCAACCCGCCGATTGCTGCAACAAGTGCCGCGAACAGGCGAACTGCAGTTACTGGAACTACTTCGTAGACACTGGGCTGTGTTACCTATACACCGCAAGCCTGTGCAGCAGCGACAACTCGGCCGAAATTAAGAGGACTGTCTACACGCCCAAAGACCCGAAATCATAGTACGTTGCGATGTCTCGGCCATCATTCCAACCCTTGCAGCTGTTTCCTCTTCCCCTGTGCTCCGTCTCCGCGGCTTCATTGCGTAATGCACTGCCACAATGGCTCTAATGTATATCTCCTTTTCTGTGCTGTCAATGCAGTGTCGGTGGTCGGTGCAACGGCGATGCTCCCAAGAAGGACAAGAACTTACCAGCCATCTCCTCCTCGCTGCAAACCTCCCTCCCGGAGCGCTCCTTCTGCCTCTTCTCCGATCCCGAACTCCACATCAACATGCGCCTCGGCGGCTACCTCGACCGCCGCACCACGCTCGCCAACCCCGCCAATCAGCCCACTCCACGTGTCTGGATCCGCGAGCTCGGTTTCGTGTGGCAGGCGCCGGCCGCAGGCGAGGAGAGCACTGGAAAGGGCGGAAAGGACAGGCCAGTGCACACTGTGCGATTCGTGTCGCGCCGCGGGCCGCAAGAGGCGCGGGGGGATGGCTACTTGGCCGCCCTGGAAGTTGACGGAACACTTGTTCCCAGGCTCATGGTGAGTTTCCTCTCAATTTGTTGATTAATACGCAATTCACGCCTCCTGGCGAGGAAAAAGCAAACCCTGAAATTTACCACCACGCACTCTCCAACGGTTCTCCCATCCGCTTCACCCGGTTCTAGTTCCTTCTCTCTCTGTTTCCCTCAAACAGCTCGGCGACGAGCTATATCTCTTCGACGGCCAAGCTATCACGTTTGGAAATTCTCACGAGCGACTCATCCGCTTTCCCCCATTCGTTTTCTCTCTCTGTTTCGCCCAAGCAGCTCGGCGACGAGCTATCTCTCTTCGACGGCCAAGCCATCGTCACCATGGACGCGCACGAGAAGTCAGGCCCGGGCAGTGCTGACGTTGACAAGTACACGATCCGCATCGAGGGCCTTCTGGAAGCCGAGATCCGCGTGCGCGCCGCACACCCGCTGCTGCAGCGCGACGGCGACGCGATGGTGCATCTGAATCTCGAGCTGGAGCAGGTGCATTATTCCATGGACGTGCATGGCGTCTTGGGACAGATGTATCGCGATGAAGCTATGGAGGAGGGGACTAACCTAGACTACACGGTGATATCGGCTCTTTTAACTGACACCGTCCGCGCTGAACAGGCTGCGGGCGAGAACTCGACCTCAGATCAGAAGCAGCAGCAGCAGCAGCAGCAGAGGGTCTGAGGAATCTAGGCAGGCAGAGGGAATAAATTCGGTTTGGAATAGTAAGCTCCAAGGAACTCCTAACGATTACCAGGTGTCCGACATTCTCCGTGCGGATTGCAGATTCGCCGTATTCGGCAGGGAACAGCCCGCTCCCGAAGAGCCCGAGGAGCAGATCCAAGACTTGGGCCAGTCTGACGTGGAGGATGAGGGAGAAGGTAACACCAAAGGTGCCGCCGCTTTGGACAGAATTGGGGGAACTCTGCGCACAGCCGTATGAATTCAGGGGTGGATTTGAACCCACCGGGGTTCGGATGGACTCTCAGTTCAGGCCATAGAAAGAGCGCGCGCTTGAATAAGAGGGAGATTGCTAGTGAAGGCAAGAATAAAGCACCAACAGTTCATTGGTGCTGCTCCTGCTATTTTATATTTGAGATGTTGGCAGTTCTATGTAAATTGCCGTACCTGATTTGACTTACATAAGCTGGAGTCCACTTAAACTATGAAATTAACAGGGAATACACTTGTTTTTCCGCCATGTACTCTCCTCTTCCAGAACTGCTAAAGAGGATGTCCCAGTGCGGTGTGTCGCGTCGCCCTTTGAAGCGATGAGGTGGGAAAGACGTTTCGCCAGCTGTTGAGCTAGTAGGCATATGAAATTGTTTCCTGCCCGACAAGAGACGGTTGTCTCCACGAACGACGTGCAAACCCAGTGAGGCATTGTGTACATTTCTCATCCTTGTGACCAAGACGTTGTCAGACCGAAGTCCCAGCCAGACCGCAAATATCATCAAAGTGTCCGGTTCGCCTTCCAGTCCCCTTTCAGTGACCTCAGGTCCCATCTGTGGTGGTCCCAAATCTTTCGTTTGCAATTCAGTAAACCAGGGTAAAATGATAATCTAGAACGGTCGAGTAGGGTGATGAACGGAAACAAATGTTTAGGTTGGGTTAGGGCATGTGAGGCACCTTGCAACAGGTACTTCAAGATATGCAAGCTGGTCACCAGATATATTCAAGTAAGGAATGCTTCGCCGTTGCCAAGGGGCATCAGTCAGCAGCACTCGAAACGTTATCTCGAGATCTACGATACGACAGCCATGGGATCTGACGAGTCCTTGTTTGTTCCCTCAGGGAGCTCTGCTCTTCCGTTCCTGGCATTTCATCTTTCCTATGGGTGAGCGCGATGAATGCAAGCATCGTTGCGTCATATTTCCTTATCCTTTCCTCATCGACAACCCTCGTCCCCATTCTCTGACGACTTCTTGCGAGTGCAGCGCGACGCTTGAAAAATGGAGCATTTCCTGCCGTCTGCTCGCGAGATGCGGAGGCGTTTCACAATTTCTGACATAATTGGTGAGGGTACTTCAGGACGAATTTGGCGATGCTTCGACCGAACCTCAGGGAGTCCTTATGCCTGCAAAGAGATTCTAAAGTCCGGGCTCACCTCCTTTGAAATAGAGGGAGTTTACAATGAGGTGACTACAATGTGTCTGCTATCGGCCCATAAGAATGTTCTTTCTCTTCACGAGGCGTACGAAGACGACGATGCGTTTTACCTGATGACGGATCTCTGCACGCGTGGCGACCTCTTCGATCTCATCGCGGAAACCAACGGCCTGGATGAACCGACCGCGAGGCACATATTTCTTCAGATTGCTCGAGGTCTCCGCTGGTGCCACCACTTCGACGTGGCTCATCGCGATATCAAGCCCGAAAACATCATGCTGACGTCACCCGTGGCCCTTAAATCTGTACCGAGATCTGCGCTGACAACCCAGCATCAACAAGCTACTCCCATTTCCAATCCTCGTACAACTCCCTCCGAGTCGGGCGATAAACATCTGGAGTCCAATTGCGGGCTAGAAGATATCGAGGTTCGAATTGGCGACTTCGGATTGGCTCAACAGATTCGCGAAGGCGAGGAATTGAGAAACGTCGTCGGAAGCTATCCGTACGAGGCGCCAGAGGTGCTCGCTTGTCAGGGCCATGACCTTAAAGCCGACGTTTGGTCTCTAGGCGTGGTTCTCTACATGATGGTATGCGCCGACTGGCCCGCCTTTCCTAACAATCACAGGGAATTGCTGCCGGTCGATTTCGCCGTCAGTCCTTGGCCGTCCGTGTCGAAAAACCTAAGAGATCTCGTCCGTCGGATGATGGAGGTGGACCCGACGAAGAGACTGAGCATTGACGGAGTTCTGTCGCATCCATGGCTTGTATCAGCAAACGGAGGCACGAAAGCTGTCAGCTCAAAAGTCCCGAAGCCCGGCAGGATCGACTGCACGGAGAACAGCGAGGGAAGCAAGGACTCGCTATTGGCCTCCTCGCTAGTAGAGTCGACGTGCCATACACCAACCAGTGTACTTAGTTTTTGCGCCAACAGCTTTGTGTAATGACACAATTTACTGCTTGAAAATGGTGTGCATTGGGATGCATTGGGCTCTAGTAAAGCTGAGCATACGTGTATGTAAAGAATTCAGATGGTGGGAAAAACGTTTGCCCAGCTGTCGAAGCCTGTCTGACTAGAATAGGCGCGTTCAACAAAAACATATTGAACCCAGACGAAACCATACGGGACAAATGTTTTTTGCTAGTCCCTTCGGGAGGGATGGGAGGATTCATCACCTCCATTCCGCCCTTTCTCAACCCGCGACCGCGAAATTGCCACCCGCGACGCAGGGGACAAAAGTTACTTTCTACCGACCAAAGAATTCAGACCGCAAAAGAAGCAAAAGTTTCTTTGCCTGCACTCCATACCCTACGCCCACTTCCTGCCTCATCCACGTTTCTCCTCAGTCCCCTTGCCGCCACCTCAGTGCCCCTCTGGCGTCCCAAAAGTTAGTTTGATAAACCAGATTGGGTGCAGGTTGATAACCCAGGGATTTTATAAAAAACATAGAGCGGTTTGGTACGGTGCTGAGCAAAAACAAACGTTTGGGATTCCTCATCTGTATGGTGGATTCACAACCTGCCCTCCAGATGGAAATCTGAACTGGGGGAAGGGCATCAATGACCACTCAGCAGTGCGAAGGGCATCTATCACCGCTCAGCAGTGCGAAGGGCACCTAATATCACCGCGCAGCAGTACCTGTCGGAATAAGAAACGACAGCATGGGATCCGGCGACTCCGCGTTTCGTCCGTCAAAGAGCTCGGCTCTTCCGTTTCCACCATTTTTAACTCCCTGTGAATCAGCAGCTCATTCCGTAAAATGAGCGCGGTGGAGCTGTTGCGTCGTTGTTCCTAATTAGCTCCTTTCCCTTTTTCTGACAGATTCTTGCGATCCAGCGCAACTCTTGCATAATGGAGCGTCTCCTGCCTTCTGCTTTCGAGATGAGGAAGCGTTTCACATTTTTCGACATAATTGGTGAAGGCAATTCAGGACTAGTTGGGCGATGCTACGACCGAATCTCGGGGAGTCTTCACGCGTGCAAGGAGATATTCAAGTCACGGCTTTCCCCCTGCGAAATAAAGGGAGTATACAATGAAGTGGCTATGATGAGGCTACTATCAGGCCACAAGAATGTGCTTTCTCTTTACAAAGCATACGAAGACGACAACACGTTTTACCTGATAACGAATCTCTGCACGCGAGGGGACCTGTTCGATCTCATCGCGGGAACCAAAGGCTTGGATGAACTGACCGCGAGGCACATCTTCCTTCAGATTGCTCGAGGACTCCGCTGGTGCCACCGCTTCAACGTGGCTCATCGCGACATTAAGCCCGAAAACATCCTGCTGACGTCAACTAAGGCTCTTAAATCTTCGCCAAGAACCCAGTACGAACAGGCTACAACAATTTCCAGTTTCCGTACTGCTTCCGGTTCGCAAGATACATATCGCCTTGAGTCCAACTGCGGGCTTGCAGATATTGAGGTCCGCATTGGTGACTTCGGATTGGCTCAGCAGATCCGCGATGGCGAAAATCTGACCGGCGCGGTCGGAAGCCGTCCGTACGAGGCGCCAGAGGTGATTGCGTGTCAGGAACACGACCTTACAGCCGACGTCTGGTCTCTCGGGGTTGTTCTTTACATGATGGTATCCGCCCACTGGCCCGCTTTTCCCTGATGGCCGAAGAGAGTTGCTGCCGGTCGATTTCGCCGTCAGTCCTTGGCCGTCCGTGTCAAGCAGTCTGAAAGATCTCGTCCGTCGGATGATGGAGGTGGACCCGACGAAGAGACTGAGCATTGACGGGGTTCTGTCGCATCCATGGATTGTGTCGGCAAGGGGAAGCACAAGAGCTGTCAGCTTGGGAGTCCTGTCACCCGGCAGTATGAAGGGAACTCGCAACTGTGAAGAAAGCGAGTACTCCTTTTTGGCTTCCTCGCTAAATGCGCTGTACGGGTGCACTCCACCATCCCCCCTAACCGCCGATAAGCGGTGTCATACACCAACTAGTGTACTTGGAGGTGTTGGCACCAAATGCTTTGAGCAATGACACTGACTGATTAGTGATATTGTATACCACTAACTCTGGAAACCTGTAAGCCTGTATTCTGTGATTAGTTCCTGACCTGATACTGCCATCTTACCCTGTTACTCTTTGTTACTACATGAAACTCCAAATCAACTGGGAAGAAGAACCTAAGTACTAGGTAAGCTGGGGAAGAAAGTCAACTGCAAACCAAATCAAACCAACCTAAACAGTTATTGGCTTTCACCCCCTGCATCGCCACCAGAGGTGGCATCACCAGCAGCCTCTTCACCAGTCGATTCCGCAGCGGCAGCAGCAACAGCATCAGCAGCAGCAGCAGCAGCAGCGGCAGTGTCAGCTGCAGGATCAGCAGCAGCTTCCCCACCACCAGCAGCATCACCAGCAGTAGCAGGCGGATCAGGAGTCGGAAACATGGACTTGGGTTTTAAGAAGTTTTCGTGAACAAAGGAGAGCTCATAGCAGGTGTTGCAGCGTGGGTTGGCCTCGGCATTGAAGAGGCGGTAACCCATGTCCTCCAATGGGAAGAGGACTTGGGTGGTCCTGCCTACGTGGCGAATCCTGATTGGGTGTGGAAGGGTGTGGAGGACAGGCGGTATAGAGTATGAACAAACTAGTGCTTTGGCAACCGGCAAGGAAACGCAACAGGAAAATGCATACTACATGCGTGTGCACGTGCATAAGATTCCACAATTTCGAGTTCTGGAGTTACAGTGACAGCACAGTTACGAGTGACTCACTGGTGAATCTCCACTAGGATTTGATCTGCTGGCGGATTCTCCTTTCCAAACGTGTTGAGCAGATCCTCCATCAGCCGCTCCTCACAGCGCTCACAGTCAATCTGAGGAGAGGGGGGAGAGACGCATGGATACAGTGGAAAGTTGCATTATGATGGAAAGGCCGATGGAAAAGGCACTTGGATCAGGGAAGCGTTGAGCAGATCCTCCATTAGCCGGTCCTCACAGCCCTCACAGTCAATCTGAGGAGAGGGGAAGTGAGATGGGGAGAGGACGGGGTGACACAAAGCAAGGCACTTGTTGACGGGAAAGGGCGAGTATCACAGGGATGTGCTCAGCAGATCCCCCATCAGCTGCTCCTCACAGCGCTCACAGTCAATCTGCAGGGGGAGTGGAGAGCGAAGGTAGAGGAGCAGAGAAAGGGAATGTTTCATCCTCATGGAACGACTGATGCGAAGAGTGGTGAGCAGATCCCCCATCAGCCGTTCCGCACAGCGCTCACAGTCAATCTGAGGGAAGTGGGGGAGAGACACGGGCAGAGGGACGGGCAGAGAGAGGGAGAACTGAGAGTGAGTCATCAAGGGGAAAGAGGGCTGATGGGATGGCGGGTTGTTCAGCACGTCAATGTGAGAGTTGTTTTATTTCCCCATGAGCTGGGCCAGCGTGGCAAACCGCTTCCCCGGCTCCCCCCTCCTGAGCGCCGAGAGCTATTCCCCCGCCCCCATGCCAATAAACGCACACACCCACCTTGAGCACGTCAATATGCGAGTGGTTGAGCTTCCCCATCAGCTGAGCCAGCGTGGCAAACCGCTTCCCCGGCGCCCCTCTCCTTAATGCAGACAGCTGCTTGCCCGCGCCCAGCCCAATGGGGATGTAGCGCAGAAGGTGCTTGGCTCGCAGGGCTGCTGCCTGCTGGTCGTCCAGAAACGGGTCGAAGGTGAACGCCTTGGTGCGCAGGCGCTCCCTTACTGCCTGCTCAAAGGAGGTCTCCCCTGCACTGCCCACACTGAATGAGAGGGAGATAAGGTGTGTAGAGCGGAAACCAGAAGGGAGGAGAGAGGGGGGTCGAAGGTGAACGCCTTGGTTCACAGGCACTCCCTCACTGCTTGTTCAAAGGAGGCCTCCTCCGCACTGCCCACACTGCACGGTGGGTGGGAGGGGAGGAAGGGGGCAGGAGGGGGGTGGGTTGGGGGGAGGGAGGAAGGGAGGAAGGCGGGGAGGAAGGAGGGGAGGGGAGGAGGGGGAATGTGAGTGGATGGAGGGACGGGAATGGCATAGAATGGAGGGGAAGGTGGGGCTGGGCCAGGATGCCAATGCTCCTTCACACTTTTGCAGAGTGTTTTTGAGTATTCTCAAAAAACGTTCTGTGAGGCGCCGCGAATTTTTTTGCAGAGTGTTTTTAAGAATTCTAAAAAACGCTCCAATGCGATGGGCAACCTTCCCCCCTTCACAGCTTCCGTAGTCCTCTTTTTGAATCGACTCACAAATAAACGCTCCGATACGACGGACAACCTTCTTAGCTTCATAACTTCTCAACCTTCCCCCCTTCACAGCTTCCGTAGTCCTCTTTTTGAATCGACTCACAAATAAACGCTCCGATACGACGGGCAACCTTCTTAGCTTCATAACTTCTCAACCTTCCCCCCTTCACAGCTTCCGTAGTCCTCCGCACCTCACCCCATCCCCCTCAACCCCCTCATCCCCCCCATTCCCCTCAACCTCCTCATCCCCCCCATTCCCCTCAATCTCTCTCTCACCTGTACACGATTGGCCGCCTCCCCCCGGCTCTCAGCTTCCGTATGTTGCACACCCACTGCCAGAGGGAGGGACAGGGGCGGAGGGGTGGGGAGGGGTGGACAGGGGTGGGGCGGGACAGGGCGGGGCGGGATAAGGGCATGGGGACACGATAGGCCTCCTCCCCCCATCTCTCAGTTTCCGGATGTTTTACACCCACTGCCAGAGGGGGGACAGGGGCAAGGTGCGGGAGGAACAGGGACAAAAGGAAGGGAAAGGGGCAGGGGGGGACAGAGGTGGGGGCAGGGGGGCACAGAGGTGGGGGCAGGGCGGGACAGGGGCGGAAGGGGGGACAGGAACGGGGCCAGGTTTTCACAAGGTTTACTTGAAAATGAGAGACAGGGGTGAAGGGGAGGGGTGAGAGGGGGTGATGGGTTTATGAAGGCAAGAAGCAGGAAGATTGAAAGCAGAAAATACCTCCATCCTTAACAGCTCGTCACCAAGGCCTACCCCACCGAGACCTACCCCACCGAGACTTACCCCATCGAGACTCAGGCCTTCCCCAACATAGCCTAGCCCACCAAAGTTGGTTTCGCCCCTCGCTTTGCAAACCTCTCCGCCCGCCCCCGCGCCGCCCAGGCACTCGGCGCGCTTGCAGAGGTGAGAGGGCGTGAGGAACACCTCCTTGATCTTGCCGGGCTTCCCTTCCCACCAAGGCCTGTCTACGTAGGGCTTATCCCACTAAGGCATACTTCTTTCACTCAGTCGGAATCCACTCTGGTAAATTTCAATCAGGCAAGCTTCCCTCCAGCTGAATTCCCACCCCCCCCAACTTTTCCCATAGGCAAGAATGCAATGCACACCTTGCCCCTCTCGCCGTCTGGCCCCGTGCCTCCCAGGCGCTCGGCGCGCTTGCAGGGGTAGGTGGGAGTCAGAAACACCTCCTTGATCTTGCCCGGCTTCCCCTCCCTCCCACCAAGGCCTTTCCCACCCAGGTCTGTTTCTCACCATGATCCATCACACTCAGACCTACCAACCGGCCTCACCTTGGCCCTGTCTTTCCACCAGCCTCACCTTTCCTCCCTCTCCGTCTGGCCCCTTGCCTCCCAGGCGCTCTGCGCGCTTGCAGGGGTAGGTGGGAGTCAGAAACACCTCCTTGATCTTGCCCGGTTTCCCCTCCCTCCCACCCACGCCTTTCCCGACTTACCTTCCCGCCTTCACCGTCCGCCCCAGTCCCTCCCAGGCGCTCGGCGCGCTTGCAGGGGTAGGTGGGCGTGAGGAAGACCTCCTTGATCTTGCCCGGCTTCCCCTCCCTCCCACCCACGCCTTTCCCGGCTTACCTTCCCGCCTTCGCCGTCCGCCCCAGTCCCTCCCAGGCGCTCGGCGCGCTTGCAGGGGTAGGTGGGCGTGAGAAACACCTCCTTGATCTTGCCCGGTTTCCACCGCGGGAATGGCGGCTCGGGGCGCTTGCCACCCGTCAACTCGTTGCGCCTCGCCAGACGCATCTGGGGAAGGAGGCGGAGGGGAGGGGAGGAAGGGGAGGGAGGGGGAAGGGAAGGGATGGGATGGGAGGGAGGGGAGCGGAAGTGGTTTGGTGGAAGGGAAATTTAGAGGTACAACGTGCGTGGCAATGTCATAGATTTCGTGTCTTTCACACATTAAGGCCACGGAACGCAACACCTGCAAAATTCGTTGCTCTCTAGAAACAGATACCTGATATCTAAACCCAGCGGCGGCTTTCCAACACCAACGCCTTTTACTCTCCTACCCAAACGGTTCTCCCCCCGCCTGACACTAATCGTTACCTGCAGTGACGCACATTACATCTCGATCTGTAACTTGCATTTGGTCATCGACAGTTTGCGCATTACTCCACCTGGTTCTCACCTGGTATTCCGCCTCCGCGCTCACAATTTCCTGTTCCTCCTCTATCTTCCTCATTGTGTCTCAAATCGACGCATGTAGACACATACGAATTGAGTCGCGACTCTTACCCGGTTTTTCGCCTCCGCGCTCACATACTCCTCCTCTGTAATGTCGCTCAGACCGACTCAGATTGACGCATTTTCCAAAAAGTTCATTCTTCTTCTAGGCTGAACTTTATTCCTCACCTGGTAATCCGTCTCCGCGCTCACATACTCCTGCTCCTCTGTGAATTCGCTGAGACTTTCTCATACCAGCGCATTTAGACACACCATACTCGAGTCGCGATTCTCACCTGGTATTCCGCCTCCGCGCTCACGTACTCCTGCTCCTCTTTACTCAACCGCTTCCCCTTCGGCCCGTGCTCCACGGGACGGCTCAGATCGAAATCCGGAAGGAACGGCGCCGCGCCGACGCCGCCTTTCACGAACGACATTTCCCCCCCGTCGTCCCCCTCCCCCCCGCCTTCCTCCATGACATCCGCGCTTTCCCCGCCTCCGCGCGCGTTCTTTCCGCCAGGCTGCGCGGATGACGGTTTAGTGGCGATGTTTGCGCCGGTGTACGAAATGACCAGTATGACGCATGCGGCAGAAATGAGGAAGACTATACAGGGGATTAGGGATCTCGCGCCGCCCTCGGCCTTTTTGCGACCGGCTTTGACGCGGTTCATATTGCCTTATATCTAGAAGAAATAAAGAAGCTTCAGACAGGCCTAGCAAATCGTCAACATGTGTGGCTGGCGAAGCGGTGGAGCGAGAACACTAATGCAAATGCAAGACGTGCACAGGCGCCGAAGTTAGAACACTGGAGCATTCAGAAACGATAGCTGCAAAGGATCTTCGCAACCCAGCCCTAGAAGAGGCCTGGCCTCAGGGAATAAGAGCACAAAATGATCGCAGTGTGAAGCGAGGACGCTACCACACCTCGTCAGAATAAATGCAGGAAGCTAGTCCCTAGAGATTATCCTCACAGCGTAGACCATGGAAGTTGGAACATTGGGATTTGGGGCTGCTTCTTGGGATTGTGGGAAGACAAATGCTGTGTACGGTGGTGCGTCCTACTTTTGGTAGTGACCCTCCAAACCAATGCGTTTTCTTGTTTACCGTTGTAAAACGTTCAGGACCGTCAAAATCCACCACAATCTTCACCTGCTGCAACGTTCTTGTGCCCTGCTGGCATGACAGACCCCACAGTTGGAGGGCGCTGCTGTTTGGCTGCCGATGTGTGGCTATCCCACTTGTTTGATCTCGTCCCACAAGTTCTCAATCGAACGGTTCCGAATAAGGGTGCTTCGACATGGGAAGCTCCCAGAGGTTGGGGATGACTATTGGTTGAGGCCAATCGCAGGTGGCTCGTGCGGAGCAACAGACCAGGTGGCAAATACTGTAGATTGACCTGCTGTAACCACCACACCAGGTTCAAGCCAAGCGAAACAAGCCTCCTTCTCTTGCGGCACACCTGCCAGTCTTGACACTTCCCCCAACCTCTGCTCGCGCCGTAGTAAACCACACACCTGACTCGTTACGACGCCAACCAGCTTGCTGGACTTTGCATAGTGTACATCGGTCTTACGGGAAGCCGGAAAAAAAGTTGTCATCCGAATTATCGCTGGAGAATCAGCAAGCACACAAGTTTATACTGAAAATACTATTATTAATTGAAGGTTTTAATACTAGATCGGTAGGTCCTTTATCCGGGAAAATACGGTATGCCTCGCACAACCGTCAATTCAATCACACCATGAGCCATAAACGACGTTAAAATATTATTCAACTTCATCTAGTGTATCACACACGCCTAGCGAACAAGCTTCAAGTGAATTCGGAAGTTGCACGGGCCTTGTGCGGTGTTGTTGTCAGGTGTTTCCGACAGCGCCAGCTCACCAACATCCTGCGCCAACAATTCCATCGCTGGAGTAGCTGCGGTTACCACCACGCATCTACTGTAGCTGGGATTCAATTTTGTTTGAGCAACTGCTTGGTCTTGACGAGAGAGTTGTGTTGCCGCTAGGTCAAAGGAAATTCTGTACACCCATAGGAGATTCCGTGCGTGTTGACACTGAAAATTCCTGCCCGTCGGGTTTATCGTGAAGCAAAGACAATGCGGTACTGTACAGGGAGGCAGAACCAAGGCTCACAGCCCAGCCGAATGAGATTTTGGCCGAATGAATTGGCGGAGCCAAGCCAAGTGGTAAGGGCGTGTAACTTTTCCAGTTTACGTCAAAAGTACGGTCGGAGCCCCCCAACCGTACGGACGGGGCCCCGTCCGTACGTTTGGGAATGTGGTACGGACGTGGAGCCGTCCGTACCACATTTGTGGAACTTTTTCTGTTCTCGAAATTTAAAATACATGCGACAAGTAACACACATTACCACGGTCGCAACCCTCTCGTCAAAGTCGCACAACTCGAATCCGCGCCCCGACAAGGTGCCACGTCAAATTCGGTTGGCAATCGGGCGTGAGAAATCGAGTCGCACAGAAACCTGCGATTCTGATTTCGTGCGCCAATGGGATGCCAGAACAGTAAGACAGTACGGACGGCTGTCCGGACAGTGTCAGAACGGTTGAACGGACGCTGGGGAGGTGTGAAAGTGACAGTTTTGGTCCGGACGTTGGCGACGTCGCACGGGATGTGGCGATGTTCGACGAAGGTGGGTGAATCTAGTAACCCCTTCAAAGTCGTACGGGCCATCCGTCCGTACTTAAAAAAGCGAAAAAGTTACACGCCCTAAGTCGCTTCCCCCGGTGCCCCCTCCCCCGCCTCGAATCCCAGACTGACGAAGAACGTCCACCGCGCACGACCAACAGCCGTGCTTCTGAACTCCCCGCGCCACCTTCCCCTTCCTAGTCATTCCCCCCACCCCGCTTCCCAGAGAGCCATGCCCCATCCCCCGTTTCCCCCGCGTCCCCCAGCATCCGCTCCCCCCATCTTCCCGCCCGACCTCAAGCGGGACGACTGTTCAGTTTGGTGGAAACCCTAGCCTCCCCAGTTGTTCCGCGTGGGCTCCCTGCCCCCCACCCACAGCCACACGATTCATGCCGCGTAGAGAATGTTTGTTGTTATTCGAGGTCCAATGTTCAGACAGGTGAGAAGCGATTCAAAGATGTTTGTAAGGTCAACCGCTTTTAATACAGAGCTGTATTTTGTTTTGCGACAGACCGTCAAATCAACCCAAGGCAGTGCCCTTGGTTGCACTGTGCCGACAGACGCACACACATTCCGTTTGCCATGGCTGATGGTACGAGGCGAGGCGAGGAGAGGAGACACCCGGAAAAACAATTCATTGTGCAGGGAGGACTGAGGAACAACAACCCTAGAGGAGTTGTGGGAGAGGTTGTTGGTGCGTGCACAAAAAACAAGAGAAAGGAAGCCCTTGGGGGGGACCTGACGTGATTCTTCCCACCGCCGCTGTTCTTGGTTCCCCCAGCTCCTAAATTTACTCCAATTAGCTAATGATAGTGACGTCCACCCAAGCAACGGTTGCGAACCAGAAGGACAGTTCCGTACTGTCACTTGGTCGATAGGGCTCCCCAGCGTGTAGCGTTACTAGCCATCCTCGCAGACGTCCTTAGTTGGTCATCGACTTCAGTCCTGACACTCAAGTGTTCTGCAGTTTCCCATCTCGCCTCAATATCTATTCTCCTTCATCTACCCTACGATTGCCGTCAAGTTTCTACCGTTTAGCGTTAGCCCAACCGTCTGGGCCGAGTTTCCTCGGTCTGCCGAAGTCCGTAGTTCCCGAGCTATTATCATTCGGGGAACGAAGCATTTTGGGGAACGAAGCAACAACCGTGGTCGAGATAGACATGGCCAGGAATAACTGGCCTTCGGGGCTGCAGTACAGACTGCTGTTCTCCTGTTGCGTCGCCATGGCTCTCGTCTCGACAGTCCATTCAGCCGACCCCGTGACACTAAATGCCGAAATATGTACGTCCTTTCAGAAACCCACCAGCTCTTACACCAGAAGCTCTTGAGTCGACTGAAAAGTCTCCTCAGCGTATCCCGTGACGTTAAATGCCGATAAATGTACGTCCTTTCAGAGGCCCACCAGCTCTTACCGCGGAAGCTTTTGAGTATACTCGAAAGTCTCCTTAACCAGCAACGTGACCCTAAATGCGGAAATATGCACCCCCTTTCACAAATCCGCCAGCTCTCAGAACGGAAGCTTTCGTCAGGCGATGACTCACCACACGCTAATCTTCTTCCCTCGCGCTCGCCTCATTCCGTCCGTGTAGCGCAAGCGATGGCGGGTATAGCGACGAGTTTTTCAGTTTGGACGGCTTCGTTGTCCTGCATCCACACGTTACATTTTCTCCCCTCGCGTTCGCCTCCCCCACCCCTTCCCCCCCCCTCCTCCCCCCCCCCCCCCCCATCCATTCCCTCTCCCTTTCCCCCCTGCAGTCCGTGCAGCGCAAGCGACGGTGAGCATAGCGACGAGCTAAAAGTGCGAGATTTGTCATGCACACGCTTATCTTCTCCCCCCGTGCTTCCCCTCCCCCTTCTCCCCCTTCCGGCCGTGCAGCGCAAGCGATGGTTAGTTTAGCGACGAGCCTCAAAGTGCCGTCGACGTTCGGGTGGTTGGCGGCGCGGCAATGCAACTCCGCGACTGGATGGCTCGGAGTCACGTGCGACGCCGACGGTCACCCCGTTTCCATGTACGACCGTTTGTCGGATCTACGTACCGGTAACTGTTAGCGTTCGTTACGCGGTTACCCTGTGTCTACGGTGCTCTAGGCTCGTCGGCTTCGAGGCAATGCAACTCGGACTGGATGGCTAGGAGTCACGTGCGGCACCGACGGTCACCCCGTTGCCATGTACGACCATTAGCGCCGGTTACGCTGTTACCCGCTGTTTCGCCGATGGGTCTTAGATTCGTTGGCCTCGCGCAATGCAACTTCGCGACGGGAAGGCTTGGAGTCACGTACACCGACTGTCACCCCGTTTTCCATGTACGACCGTTTGTCGCAAACCCAGTCGCGTGTGACACTTGGCGACACCCGGTTCGTTAAAATTTCGCGGTAGTACCTAGCGTAGCGTGCATTACGCTGTTTAACTGTTTCGACGGTCGTCTAGGTTCGTCTGCGTCGCGGCAATGCGATTCCGCGATTGGATGGTGCGACGTGGACGGTTTTCCCGTTTCCATGTAGAACCATAGTCACGTAGGATTGTTACGGTGTTACCCCATCGCCAATCGACTTTGAGTCGACTCAAGAGTTGACTTTCAAGTCGACTCAAGAGCCATAGTCACGTAGGACTGTTACGGTGTTACCCCATCGCCAATCTCGCTTTGTGAAAGTTGTTCTCGCTTTTGGTGTCTCGCGCCCCTCACCGTTTTCTCTATTTGCCGGCCTTCGACATGCCTCGGATTCTCAGTTTTCGCGGACCTTTCTGCTTGGTCACCTTCTCACCGTGACCCCCTCGTCTCTCCTGCCACTGTTCCCCTTCCCCCTCCCCTCCTCCTCCCTTTCCCCCATCGTGACGCTGTGCGTGATATCTATGGTTGAAAATGATTGTTCAATGATTGGATATGATTGGATTCGATGCGAGCAGATCGTTCAACAAGCCCACGTGGACGGGCGGGTCGCTGCACACGTCTGTCGGCACCCTCAGCCGTCTGGAAGCCTTGTGAGTGCCGCCTGATCGCCTGCCGGCTTTGTAAACGCCGCCTTATCCGCCTGCCGGCTTTGAACACGCCGCCTTATCCGCCTGCCGGCTTTGTAAGTGCTGCGAGCATTGGGAGTGTCCCAAGCCTTGGGAACCTAAGAGTGCTGCGGTCAGCTCTTCGGCTCCACAGGCTTCGCGGAAAAATGCTGCGGTTAGCTCTTCGGTCATCTCTTCGTGCTTGCGCTTTAAGAGAACGTTGCCAAGCCTGCCGAACCGCGTGTACTTTTCCCTGACTCCTCTTATCGGTCGTGCGTGTTTAGCTGTCCTCCTAATGGGTGTGCTTCTTGTACCGGGTGTGCTTGTACCGGATGTTCTTGTACTGGGTGTGCTTGTAACAGGTTGCTCAACAACTTGGACATGACTGGCAGCATTCCCACGGAAGTCGGGCGCCTGGCGAGCCTGACCTCGCTGTAAGCACCCTCTGTTTGAATCACACTCTCTTGCTATCACTCTCTAGCCGTCCCTCTCCCGTCTTGCCTTACTGCAACAGCTGCCCGTCTCCGTTATTGAATCATTCATTAGCATAACACAATCATCGTTAGCCTTCTGTCGCCTCCTCCGCGCTCAAATGTTTCCCCGCACGTGTTTCCTCCTCTCTCCCTTTCCCCCCTTCACAGCGCGCTCAACGGACTCGCTCTTTCCGCCGCTAGTCTCGACTTCGCTCTGTGAATTGATTATTTTTTTTTCCTCCCCACCTTTCCCCTTCCCCCCCTCCTCTCTTCCCCCCGTCCTCTCCCCCTTCCCCCCCTTCACAGCGCGCTCAACGGACTCGTTCTTTCTGGCCCCATCCCCGCTAGTCTCGGCGACTTATGAGGCGCCTCAACAACTTCCCCTCCTCTCTCTCCCTCTCTCTCCCTCTCTCTCCCTCTCTCTCCCTCTCTCTCTCCCTCCCCCACCCCTCCCTCCCCTTCTCAGCGCGCTCAACGGACTCGCTCTTTCGGGCCCCATCCCCTCTAGTCTCGGCGGCCTCACCAATCTCGCGAATCTGTAAGCCCACTTCTCCTACCTCTCTCACCTCTCCTTTTCCCCCCGTCACCTCCCCTCTTCCTCTCCCCTATCTACCACCCGTTCAACCTCCCTCCCCGCCCGTTCCTTCCCGCCCGTTCCTCCCCGCCCGTTCCTCCCCGCCCGTTCCTCCCCGCCCGTTCCTCCCCGCCCGTTCCTCCCCGCCCGTTCCTCCCCGCCCGTTCCTACCCCGCCGGCACTTCCCCCCTTCTCCACCTGGCCTATTCCGCGCCATCCTGCTTCCGCCCCTCTCTCCCCCGCCTTTCTTCCGGATCATCGTTGTCCCAGCTCTCGCCCCTGCAGCTGCTGAGCGTCGGCTTCGCCCCTCCCCCTCCCTTCTCCCCTTCTCCCCTTCTTCCCTTCTCCCCTTGTTCCCTTCCCCCCCGGTTCCCCGCGTTTCCCTCCACAGAAACATCACGGGCGGGTCGCTATCCGGGCAGATTCCCGCGGAGCTGGGGCAGCTGTCGCGCCTGCAGCTGCTCAGCGTGGGCTTCCTCCCTCCCCTTCTCTCCCCCCCCCCCCCCCCCCCCCCCCCCCCCCCCCCCCCTCTTGCCCCCCCTCCGTGCGTCCCCTCCCTCCGCGCAGCAACATCACGGGCGGGTCGCTATCCGGGCAGATCCCCGCGGAGCTGGGCCAGCTGTCGCGCCTGCAGCTGATGAGCGTCGGCTCCGTCCCTCCCCCTCCCTTTCTCCCTTCCCCCCTTTTCCCCGTTCCCCGCGTTCCGCGCGTTCCCCCTCCCAGGAACATCACGGGCGGGTCCCTGTCGGGGCAGCTGTCGCGCCTGCAGCTGCTCAGCGTCTGTTTCCCCCCTCTCCTTCCCCTTCCCTTCCCCCCTCCTTCCCTCCCTCTTCCCCATTCCCCCCATCCGCGCAGCAACATCACTGGCGGCGCGCTGTCGGGGCAGATCCCCGCGGAGCTGGGGCAGCTGTCGCGCCTGCAGCTGCTCAGCGTGGGCTCCGTTTCCCCCTCCCGCCCCTCCCTTCCCCTCCCTCTTCCCCCGCTTCCGTGTTCCGCGCAGCAACATCACGGGGGGCGCGCTATCCGGGCAGATCCCCGCGGAGCTGGGGCAGTTGTCGCGCCTGCAGCTGCTCAGTGTGGGCTCCGCCGCGCCCTTCAACCGCCTCTCCGCCATCAACGGCGGCATTCCCGAGGCGCTCTGCGACCTCGCGCCGCTCCAGTACCTGTAAGCGCGCGGCGGCGTGGGGGGGAGGGGGGACGCGGGTGGGGGCTGGGGGGACGCGGGTGGGGGCTGGGGTGCCGGCGGGAGGTGGGGGGTTGAGAGGGGAGGGGTGGCGGCGGGGAAGGGCAGGTTTGGAAAGTTGTTGCTGCCATTGTTCTCCTGCCGCATTCACCTGCTTCCCTCCTTCCCTTCTTTCGCTTGTCTCCGCTTCCCCTTCCGCCCCCCCCAACTGTCTCGTGCCCTCTCCCCGCCCTAGGCCCTTGCAGCAACCTGGGCTTTAACCGTCTGCAGGGCTCGCTGCCGCTCTGCGTCAGCTAGCTTTAAGACATGTTAAGAGAATCGATGTCCCTTTTTTTTTTCCTTGCCCGCCTTGTCCCCACCTCGTCCCCTCTTCTTACTCGCAGGAACCTGGGCTTTAACCGCCCGCGCTCGCTGCCGCTCTGCCTCAGATAGCTCATGCCCTCCCTCACCCCCGTCTCTCCCCCCCCCCCCCCCCCCCCCCCCCCCCCCCCCCCCCCCCCCGCCTCTCTCCCCCCCCCCCGTGCCTCCACTCCCCTTCCCCGCTCCCTGTAGCAACCTGGGCTTTAACCGTCTGCAGGGCTCGCTGCCGCTCTGCCTCAGCCAGCTCACCAACCTCTTCTATTTGTAAGCATACTCGTTAGAAGCATGCTCGTTATAAGTACCCTCTTTAAGCATATTGATTCAAAGCACGTGTTTCATTCCTCCTCCCTCTCATCCCGCCTCCCCCCTCCCTTCCGCTATCCGTTTCAAGCACGTGTCTCCTTCCTCGTATTCCGCTAACCTCCCATTCCCTCCTCGGTTGTCCCCTCGACTCTCTCCGCCCTTCCCCACCCCTCCCCTCCCCTCCCCTCCCCTCCCCTCCCCTCCCCTCCCCACCCCTATCCGCCCCTCTCTGTCCGTCCCCGCTCCCCGTCTCGTCCTCACCAGAGCCGCGCCAAGCAACACACTCTCTGACGACATCCCACCCGAAATCGCCGCCCTGCTGCACCTTTTCGAAGTGTACGTGCTGCATTCCTTTCCCTCCCACGCCCCTTTCCGTCCTCCTTATTCTCCGCGCGCGCCATCCCTCCGGCGCACTACACTCTTTTGCCTCTGCGCGACATGCCTTCCCCACACGCTCCAATGACATTCCACACGAAATCGCCGCCCTGCCACACCTTTTCGAAGTGTACGTGCTGCATTCCCCCCACTCCCCCTCTCTCCCCACTCCCTGTTGTGTGTGCTATCTACATGCCTCCCCCTGCTTTGCGCGCTACATGCCCTCTCCCGTATTTTCTTCGGAGCTCGATTTACTACCCATTCACTCACTTGCTCATTCCATTCCTCCCTCCTCTCCCCCACCACCCCTTCCCACCCTGCAGTGATCTATCCAACAATCTCTTCTCCGGCCCTTTCCCAGGCTTCTCAACAGAGTCGAGTTCCCTCTCCCTCTCCCTCTCCCTCTCCCTCTCCCTCTCCCTCTCCCTCTCCTCACACTCATCCCTTTCTCTTTCTCCCCTTCTGCCCTCCCCCCCTGCCCCCCTTGCAGTGACCTATCTAACAACCTCTTCACCGGTCCATTCCCATCCTTCTCAACCGAGCTCAACACCCTCACACTCTCCAAGAACCTTCTCTCGGGCCCGCTCCCCCCCGCCCTCCCTCCTCTCCTCACCTCCCTCGCAATCAACACCAACTACTTCACAGGAAACCTCCCCCTCTTCTTCCCTCTCAATCTCACCTACATCGACCTCTCCGATAACTATTTCACCGGAATCGCAAACGTGTTCGTCGGAACCAGTCTCTTCTACGCCTTCCCTGTGCGATGCGCCGCACTCGGTGCCGCGCTTTCCAAAAACTGCTTCTCAGAGTCATCTAAATGCACGGGGCCGGAAGCGCAGCGAAACAGCACCATGTGCAAGGCCGCCTGCGGAACAGGAGTGTGGGAACCACTGGTCAAGGGGAAGAGTCAGTGCCAGGGGTATGGCACCTGCTACCCCTCCATCCCCACAACCACCACCACTGTCGCCACCTCTCAGGCCCTATCCCCCCCCACAACGTCCACCGTCAAACGCCCCAAGCTCGCCCCTGGGGGCCTCCCTCCTGCGTGGACCTGCGCGTGCGATGCGAACGCGGTGAATGTGCCGAATAGAGATGATGCGTGCACGTGCAAGGTCAAGAAATCCTGGCCGTGCGCTGGGAAAGGGAAGATCAACGGCGGATGCCCTCAATATGCCCGCTGCTACCCGTACTACTTCTCGTGTCGCGGCGTGGGTTGCTTCTGTCTCAGCGGGTACACACCCACGTATAATGCCCGAAAGGAGGTAGTGTTGTGTACACCCAAGGCGGCTGCCGGGACCCGAACCGCCAAGAGTAACTCCCTAAGCGCGCACGCAGCCTCGGTGGCCGAGCGGCTAGGCTCGGTGAGAGGCTCGGGGATGCTAGGGTTGGTGTCCGGACCGGCGCGAATGGGCATGGAGGTTGCAGGAGCTGTGAGTGAGGGAGTGCAAGCTCTTCAGGAGGAGGTTGAGGAGGCTGGGGCGAGAACGGTTAGGGGACCGGCTAGAATTGACCTTGAAGTGGATTATGAGAGGGCGGAACAGGCAGAGTTGATTGCTGATGAGGAGGAAAAGAGGGAGCAAGTGCAGCAGCAGCAGCAGGGGGCGGAGCAGAGAAGAGGCGGCAGCAGCAGCCGCGAGCTGCTTCACTCGCTTGCGTCGCTGATTGGCTCGTAGCGTGTGTCTTCTTTCGCTCTCGGGGGTCAACTTCTGAGGCGCCTCAAAAGTCACTCGCGTCGCTGATTGGCTCGTAGCGTGTGTCTTCTTTCGCTTTCGCGGGTCATAAACTTGCTTGCTTGCTTTGCTGATGAAGACGCCCATCTCTGGTGTTGCTTTGTTGACTTGTGAATGCTGGTGGGTTTACAGGGTTCTCAAACTTAGTGACTGGCTGGCTCTAGAGTTGGAGCTGTTTCATAATACGGCAATAGTTACAGGGAAATATAAGCAACGGTATGGAGTTGCCTGAGTTGGTGAGCAGGGTTTTTTCTTAGACCCAGCTGCTTTGATTTGAATTTATTCTTTTGTACCATGCTTCTGTCATACTCATGCTGTATTCTGTCTATTTGAAGAGCAAACAGAGCACCAATGTTTTACCACGTGCCCTGCCAATGAGCTGCCCTTGACATACCTACCTATCCTTACATGTCAGCAGCACCAGGCACAAACATCAGCAGCATGTCAGTCTGTTTCCTCCTCCCATGCATCGTCCATGTCCGCACTCAAATGGGACAAACCTATCTTGGGTTTTTTCGCTGCCCGAACATCTACCTGCTGCCCATCCCCTCCTTTCCCTTCTCCTCCTTTGCCTGCTCCTCCGTCCTCCTCTTCCTCCTGTCTCCTACGAACCTTCTCCTTCCCTTCCACAGCCCCTTCTCCCCTCTCCTCTCCCGTCTCTTGTCCCTTCTCATCCCCCTTCCCTTCACTCTTCCCTCCCTCCTCCTCCATCCCAGCAGCTCCAGATGCACTTTCTCTCCTCCCCTGCTCGTGACTGTCACTCCCCGCTCTTCTCTCGACCCCTCCCTCCTCTGATGCCTCCCCTCCTTTTCCTGATTCCCCTCCTTCCCCTCCTTCCCCTCCTTGCCCTCCTTCCCCGCCCTCCTTTCCCTTTCCTCCCTCCCCACCCTTACCTTCCTCCCCTGCTACTTCCCCATGCCTCCCATCCCGTCCTTTCTCCTCCCCCCCAACCTTTTCCTTCTTCCCTTTCTGCTTGCCCTTGCCTCCCCCACTGTTAACCAATTCCTCCTCCAAACTCTCCAATAGTCTCTTAATCTCCTCGTCCTTGGCCAAGTCCGCGGCCTTCTCACCACTCTTATTTCGCATGCCTAATAGCTCTTTGCCCCCCTTCCTAACCAGTAACCTAACTACTTCCGGAAAGTTCTTGGAAGCTGCAAAGTGCAAGGCGGTCATGCCCTTTCTAGTGGCCGCGGCCGGCTTTGCTCCTTCCGCCAGCAGTGCACGCGTGGCGCTGACGTGGCCCTTCTGCGCTGCGAAGTGCAGCGCTGACGTGTCGTCCGCGGCTGCCGCGTTGACCGCCGCCTTGCTGGCGCACAGCAGGGTGATGACGTCAGCGTGGCCCGCCCAGGCTGCTAAATGGAGCCTGATTGGACGAGGCGAACAAAGGGGTGCGGGGGTGGGGAGGGGGAGCCGGGATGGGGGATGAAAGAAAGGTGAGTAAGGGAGGGAGGGGAGCCGCGTCGGAGGGATGCAGGGAATACCGTAGAAAGAAAAGTAGATGGAGTTAGCAGGTTTGAAGATTTAGGGTTTACGGGGATAGGAATGGACTGGCGAGAAAGCAAATACCAAGAACAGGTTCTCACGGCGTGCGGTTGAGCTTATCGCGGGCGTTGACGTCCGCCCCATCCACCACAATTAACCGTCGAACCGCCTCCAAGTCGCCGTTTCGTGCGGCCGTGTGAAGTTCCACAGCAGATCTGTCCTCCTTATTATCGAGTTTCGCTTTCCGATACGATCTCTGTGACATCTTCTTTGAACTTTGTCGTCGCCTCAACCACTCAAGCGGAACTAGCGGAGGAAACCAGAATTACTACACGATATTCTGCTCTAGATTCTATGAACAATAGGCGGATCATCCAAGCTTACGGGGCATCACTAGCATGAAATCAGAAGGCGCGCTTCGTGCTAGGCAAGGAGGGAATTAAGCAATGTTATTGACAGGCTCGGAACAAGTAAAACGTTGAACAAAGAGAACATTGTTCTGTCATATAAGAGCTATTGCTGTTTTTTTATCATTAGTGTAGTTCGTTATTTTTTTTAGGCTGCTTGCGAACGGAGGTTGCGCACGGAGAGTGGGAAGGAGCCCCTCCCCGCCCCTCTCCCCCCGTCCCCAATCGCATGCCCTCTTCCGCTACGGGACAGCCTGCGCCAGTGGCGATTCTGAATGATGTGGACCATTGTACATGTGGATGGCCGATATGCTCTTGTTTCAGTGTCACAAGATCTCACCCGTTTTGAGCACCGCGCACACACAGCGGTCCTTGTTTCAAAGTACTGTATACAGTCGGAGCAGGGTGCGGAGTGAGAAATGAAAAATTGTCGGAGAAACTGCCAAACACTGGGCTGGTGTCGGTGTCGGTGACACAATGGATGCCCTAAACAACTGTTCAGATGCCTTCGTGAGACCAAAGTTGAAGCCTTCTGGAACCAGATCTGGTTTGGTACTTCCGGCTGCCAGGGTTGGGCAGTTGAAAATGCACATCCGTATTTTGGAGATGGCAGAAGCAGTCAAAAAGGACAAAGAGGACGTACAAAAAGAACAAACAAAACGACGACGAGCAGCCTCCCAAAACGCGGAAGCGCAAACAAAACCTGCATGGCGTTCTCCAGAAACCCCGCCTCGCCTCTTTGAACCATTGCAAACCGAACAATCACCATTTTTTCGACCCCCTTGTACAGTGCTTCGGTCTTTCGAACATGCAAACTGCGGCTTGTGTACAGATCCGAGCCACCGTCGGTCTTGGCTCCCAGCCAATGCTTGTGCGGGCCTTCCCCAGAGCGGTCCTCGATTCACGATCAACGCCCCCTCCTTCCTCACACCCCTCTTCCCGCCGACTCCTCCACGTGTACTGGCGGAACCTAAACCCTATTCGCAGCGCCGCCCGCAAGACGAGACGAACAGAATGCGAACCCAACTCGAGACCGCGATAGTGTCGAACGGGCCCTCACAAAGATCCTGGCTTGGGAAGTGTCCTACATTCCCCTGACCATTCCTTCCCACCGAGCGATTTTGACGCTACATTCAGCAGGTCCAATCTTTCAACACGGCTGTGTTCGGTTATTAGCATTTAAATCATGATCATGTGCGTTAAAAAGCGGTGATGAGCCCTCGCGAACCGCAAGGACCAACTCCTTTGACGGCGAATGTCAGCTCACTATCCAACCGAGCCAGGTCGTCCTTCCTTGCCCATGCCCATCACGCTGCGTGCCCTCTGGTTCTTGTTGCGGCTCCTGCATACACTTCATCTTGCTCGCCGTTCTTTTCTATTTTGTGTTCCTGGTTTCACACGCAGCGCGCCTCACACATCGCATGCTTCACCTATCCTTCTAGAATCTGATTCTTTTGCGGTGACGCGTCAGTGCCTTCTAGGAAACCTCTTCCGAGCCGCCCTGTCGTCCCGTCAATACATTATTCCAGTCCCACAAGCCTGCCCTGCCACGCCGGCCGCAGTATAAATTACCTCCAATCGATGTTTTCTATTTTACTGAGTGAAGGATTTACCTTATCGAATTTTGCACGTTTTCTCTCCTAGCGCTATAAGTGTTACTAGCTAAACGAGAAATAGCAAGCTCGAATCGAAGTCGTTCCTGTGTTTTCCGGGCTGATCGGCCGCATCAAGCTGACGTCATCTGTACTATTACCGACTTAGCTTCTGACATCACGAGGCGTCGTGAAGCCTTCTATTTAGCGAAGCGTCTTCGCTACGCCGCGTCATACGATCTGCGAAGCTGTACTTTCTCCTCTAAGCTTGATAGACGATACGAGTTCAGAATGACGATTAATCGACCGAACAGCTACACATCAGGAGCAACCCACGTGGTTCCGCCAGCTGGGCCGTCAAGAACCATCGACGCATCATTAAACCGCCGCCGACCATTGCGGAGTGCTTATGCGGCGGCTTTAGAACCCTTACCGTTTAGGGCAGCTTTCGAGGCGCGAGATCATTCTCATCACATGGCCTTACCAGCTTCAGAACCCTTACCTGCCATGGCCTCCCGGACCCTCGCTTCCTGTCGAGTTGCGCTAATCGCGGCGTCAATCGCGCTGCTTGTGATGCTCGCCGGAATCCCATCGTCGGCTGCCGTCGCGCCTGCGCCAGTTGCGGTGCACTCGAGCATGTGTAAGCACTAAAGCTCCACCTCCCTCCTCTCCGTTTCCCTCTCCGTCCCCCAAGCATTCAAGCATGTGTAGCGCTAAAGCTCCAAACTCCCCCTCTCCGTCCCCCCAGCATTCCAGCATGTGGAAGCTTCCGGCTCGCTCCCCCTCCTTCCGTTCGCTTCTCGCTTTCCGCCCCCCTCTCCGCCCCATCTCTCCGCCCCCTTCCCCCCCACTTTCCAGTTTCTTTCCCTCCATAGCCCCCCTTTCCCTCCACAGCCCCCCTTCCCCCCCCCCCACCCCCCCCCCCCCCCCCCCCCCCCCCCCCCCCCCCCCTCCATTCGAGCATGTGTCCGCTTCCCCCCACCTCCCATGCCTTACGCGTCACAATCCCGACCTCCCAGGTTCTTCTCACCCCGCGTCACCATGAGGCGCCTCAAAAACGACCTCAATGCACCTCCCAGTCTCTTCTCACCCCGCGTCACCATGCCTTCCCGCCCCACCGTCCCGTTCTCCCCCTTCCCCCCCCCCCTCCCCCCCCCACCCCCCTGCCCCCTCCCCCTCCCTTTCCCCCGTTCGTTTCCGCAGTTCAACCGCTAAACGCACTGGGCAAGGCGCTGCGGGTACCGAGCAGCTATGGGTGGTTGGGCACGCGCGAGTGCAACGACGGGTGGACGGGCGTCGTGTGCGACGCCGACGGCAAACCGATTTCGATGTGCGTATCTGTTGAAAGATTGCTTCTACAGTAGTGTATTTCGCTGAAACATGTGTGTTATGTCAAGTTGTTGTATTTCTTCAGTTGCTACACTAAACGAATCGCTTCCTGCTTTTTCGTGCACCATATTTTCATCCATCCATTTGCAAATCTATTTAGGCCGGATTCCTAACTTCGTGTCATCCGATTTTTTTTTCTCCCGCGCGAAGGGTTTTCCGATTCGACTTCGGGTCATCCGACGCGGCAAATTTGAGTGGTCCTAAATGTTCGGATGACACGAGGACAGGAATCCGACCTTATTATCCGTTTATTAATCCTTCCATTTGTGCATGCAGACAATTCAAGTCATCATTCAATGGAGGATTTCTTTCTTCTGACGTCACCAAACTCACATCGCTCCAAACACTGTATGTCCCACATGACGCCACGCATCTCGCACACAACCTCCTCGCATCATACACTGTGCTGTGTATCCTATGTTTCTAATTATATAAATAATATAAATAATATATATAACATAAATATAATATATATAAGCGTTTCTTATTATCCTGTTCTGCACTGTATGCAGGCTTCTTGACCAGGTGAACATCGGGGGCTTGGTTCCAGCGGGCATGGAGAGCCTTCAGCTGCTGACCGCGCTGTAAGCCTCACCGCATTCGTTACAGTCACATCCCTCTCACTCCCCTCACATGCCATTCGTTTCAGTCACATGCCGTTCAGTCAGATCACGTGCCATGTGTCAGTGTCTGACATTTTCATTACTCGCGCCGCGCTCACCACCCCCTCGCTGACATTCCCCCCCTAAACCATGGTCTCCCCCACCCCGCTTCTCTTCCGCCTTCCCCATTCCCGCTTCCTCTTTCCCTTTTCCCCTTCCCCGTCGCCCTTTACCCCTCGCAATGCGCGCAGGTCACTGAACGGCAAGTATCTAAGAGGGGAGGTGCCCCCGGCACTGGGTCAACTCACCACCCTTCCACCTTCCCCTCATCCCCCTCTCCATCCTTTCCCCCTTCCGCCTCCCCCATCCCCCCCCGCAATGCGCGCAGGTCACTGAACGGCAAGTATCTAAGAGGGGAGGTGCCACCTGCACTGGGTCAACTCACCAACCTCGTCCACCTGTGAGTACCCCTTGTTACCGGTTTGCAGAGCACTGTCTGCCTCAGGTGCTGCCTCAGGTGCTGCCTCAGGTGCTGCCTCAGGTGCTGCCTCAGGTGCTTTGTGCCGCCTCAGGTGTTGCGGTTAACTGGTCCCATCAGGTGTTTTCAGGTTCACTTCCCAGGTCCGACTCCCAGAGTTCATTTCCTCAACCTCCTTACACTCTTGCTCACTCCTCTTCTTTTCTGGTCACCGCTCTCCACCCCATGCTACCCCTGGCAGATCCATCAAGGGCGGCGATCTCTTTGGCGGTCTGCCTGACGAGCTCAGCTCTCTCACGCGCCTCATCTACCTGTGAGTGCCGCATTTACCCATGATTGCCTGCCAGCACTGCCCTTTTGCTTGCGCTCATTTGTGTGCGTGCTTCTGCTTGTCCTTGTGCCTGCCGTGCGTCTGCGTGTACTTCTGCCTGTGCTTATGTGTGTGCTGCTGTGTGTGCCTGTACTGCTGCTTCTGGTTCTGCCTATTTGCCCACTCATTCCGTTGAGCCTTTCAAATCCAGAAAATCCAGCGCTATCCCTTTTAACTCCTCTTAATCTCTCCCCACCCCACTCCATTCCCTCCTCCTCCCCTCAGCGCCATCGGCTCAAAGCCTTCGTTCGGCCAGCTCACCAACATTCGAGGACCCCTCCCTGCCGCCTACTCATCCCTCGTCGCCCTACAGTACCTGTAAGCCCTCCTCCCCTTTACCCCATCTCCCCTCCCCCCACTCCCTCCCCCCTCGTGAAACGAGACAAGTTTTGACGTGACTCATCCCCCCCTGCCCTCGTGGCCCTACAGTACCTGTAAGCCATCCCCTCCTCTCCTCCCCCACCTCCCCTTCCTCCCTCATTCCCCCTTCCTCCCCCACCCCACCCCCCCATCGTCCCCCCACACCCCTCTCCCCCCCCCTCGCTCGACGACTCAACTCTAGTGGCCCTACAGTACCTGTAAGCCCTCCTCTTTCCCCTCCTCTTCCCCCCCACTTCCCACGCCAACTCAACCCTAGTGGCCTACAGTACCTCCAAGTCCCGATGTGGCCATACTGTAAGCCCTGCCTGTTATTTTTTCCCACTCCCCCCTCTTCCCTATCAGTATCACGCTGCCGTCCCGCCTTTTCTGCCCCTGGCAGTACCACGCATGAGCACCACCCATCTTCACTCACTCACTCTCTCGCTTCCCCGTTTCTCTCTACCCCTGTCTGCAGCGACCTGGGCTTTAATCGCCTCTCGGGACCCATTCCAGACTCCTGGGGTGCTCTTTCCAGCCTCTTCTACTTGTGAGTGCTCCACTTTTATGCTATCGTTTTGTTTCTTTGTTCTATTTATTAACGTTTTTCTTTTTCTTATTGTAGGGCAGTTCTTACATGCACCTTGTGGTGGTCATCACCTTGTGGTGTTCTTGTTGCCTGATTGTCCTGATTCCTCCTTTATTAATCCTTCCTGCTAGAGTCTCTATTCCATCCTCTCTCAGCGCACTTTTGAGACACCTTGAGACTCACTGTGTTTCCTTATTGCCCATCTCCCATTCCCCGTTGTCCATCCCCCATTGCCAATCCCTTATCCCCCCTGCAGGTCCATGCCCAACAACCTCCTCTCTCAACGCATCCCCTCAGCTGTTGCCAGCTTGCCCCATTTGGACTATGTGTGAGTGTTACCCTGTTAGATTGGGTCCATTTCTGAGTGCTACCTTGCCCTATTTGGGCCATGTGTGAGTGTTACCCAACCCTTCTTGCACCTGCTGTCTCACGCGCCCCCCTGTCTCTCATTCGAATGGTCTCTCGTTCTCTCTCTTTCCCTCTCTGTCTCTCTCGCTCTCTCTCTCCCGCTCTCTGCCTCCACAGGAATCTCGCCAACAACGTTCTCTCCGGTGAAATACCCGCTTTCTCCGACACGGTAGACGTTTTACACGTGCCCCGCAACCTTCACACTGGCAACCTCCCCCGGCTTCCTCTCCTCATCACCTCCCTTTCTGTCGCCAACAACTTCCTCACTGGACCCCTTCCGAACGTCTTCCCGCCGCAACTCAAATCTCTCGATCTCCGGAGAAACTATTTTGTCGGGGTCGTGCGGTTACAGTTCGGGTTAAGTTCCGCGTCGGCAACTCCCATATCGTCATGTAATAATATGAGGCTCGCGAAGAATTGCTTGACATCGGCATCGGATTGTACGAATAAAAGAAGGCAGCGCTCGCAGTATCGGTGCAAGAATTTGTGCGGCTCGTTCGGGTGGAATTCAAAGTCGACTTCTGGGACACAATGCGGAGGGTTGGGGCAATGTCGGCCGGTTTTCAAGAGTCGCCGGCGGAATGCCTTTTTTTGGGCCTGCAGGTGTGACGCAGGTGCACGGCCAGCAATTCTGAAGGGTTTCCAAACCTGCGTGAAAATATAAGTAATATTGTTGTAGTTTGGTTAGGTAGTATTTGTTAAGTCATAGAACCACATACTTGGTTTGTTCTTAACGTATGCATTCTATACCGAAACGTGTGCTGGCCTAGAAAAGGTGATTGCAACGGAGCTGCTGTTCGGCTTTCGTCCAATCGTAGCTGTTCCCTCCGTCACATGGTCGACTGGAATGTGCTGGTGCCAGGTCAGCATCCCCTGATCCGACGTATGAACGAATCAGCACACAGGAAGCCCCACCTCACCGCCCAGCTTGCCCTTCATTTGTAGTCGTCACGCATGTCTCTCGTCCAATGAACCCCGAGATCTTGCCCGAATCCTGCCCCGCCGAAGTTCCTCTCCCCCGATTTTTCCCCGAAGCGACTTTCAATCACGTTGCTGCCTCGGCGCATGCGCCCACCCTAGGGAACTCCACGCCCTCGACCCCGCGCACTCTGCTGGATCTCCCTCATCTTCGCGCAGCAGCGACCCCGCGGGCAGCAGGAACGGGTCCGCAAAAAGGAAAGAGAAATGGCTTTGTTTCGCTTCTGCCTGGGAAATGGCTGACTGAACGTTTTGAGCATCCCATGACGTGGTGGAACAAAGCGGTAATAAACGGTAAATATCTGCTAATAAGGTACGGGGAGCGGTTAATTGGGATTTCGTGACGTCACAAGTGATGCCCCAGCCTCCAAATTTCACTTTTTACAGCAGAGGGAGAAAGTGCATCCCAATCAGACTCGCAAGAAGCATTGGCAGAAGCTTCGTACTCGAGCCTTTCGTTCCGCATCGCTGTCGTCCCCTTAGCTCGTTTGCGTCGCTGCCTGTAGCCTGTTATTATTTCTCCGAAGGCAATCGAGCTTGAACAGTTACAATCAACGTCTCGCGGATCATCTGTCTTTTTTGCAAAATTCGCGCATCCATTATTCACGGATGAGCGAATCTACTGCGTTCGCATCGCAACACCACCCCGCGCCACGCCACGCCACACCGCACCACGGTGCGCGAAGTTCCGCAAGATTGAAGAAAGCCCGTCGCGCGACGAGCAATAAGTGCCGGACTGGTTGTCCCCCTTCGCCGTTGCGCGCGGCGCTTTCTGAATAACGTCAAACAGAGGGAGTACGGTGACCGACAAACTGCATTACCTTTTTTGGTGACCGCCAAGTCAGTTCGACGAGGGCTGAATCGGATGAAACCGCATTGACCCGTTCTTCAGAGCTCACCTTCCCAGGCATCGTCCGTCGGCCGGATCAAACGAATCATAACGACGACGTTTTGCGATGTCCGCGCCGCTTCGAGCATCGCTCTCCGATATCCCATCAACTCGCACGCGCCGTCAATCTATTATTTTCCGGGGATAGTCGGAAATCTGGGGTCCAATAACGGATATTACGCCGCAGTTGGCGCAAAGGGTTTCATCAGATCCGCGTTTCAATTTGAAGGCCAGCGGCAACTCTCGTTCGCGTGTCAACTCTCGTTCGCGTGTCAACTCTTGGTCGCGTGTCAACTCTCGTTCGCGCGTCAGCATGCAGAAGTGGCTGGGCGAACTTCCTGAGGAGCGCCGCTCGCAGATCTTCAGCGGCATCGCGGGCGCCGGTGCAGGTGAATGGCCACGTCAGACTCTTGTTGACTCCCGTTGACTCCTGTTGACTCGTCAGACTCTTCGAAGTTGAGACTTGCTTTGCTCGTTCTAAAATGCGGACAAGTGCTAATCCAACCGTTCCCCGTTTCCCTTCGGTCCCCTTGCGTCTCCTCTCCGTCTGCTCTCCGTCTCCGTCAAACCACGTACGCAACCCAACCGCAGGCGCCATAGCCGCCACGTTTGTCGCGCCGCTCGATGTCGTCAAAACGCGCCTCCAAGTGCAGTCAGTTCCCCGCTCCCGCCCACAACCTGCCGCCGGCAGCACTACCGGCCAAACAGCCGGCAGCCTAACGGCCGCCGCCCAACTCAACCAGCACTGCAACCCTACCCCAGCCCAACCCTCAAGCCTCGCAAGCTGTAACTTTGGCGCTTCCGCTTCCCCCTCCCCTTCCCCGCACGCGCAAGCCACCCTTCCCCCTTCCAGCTCCGCCAATCCCGCCTCCCCCTCTCCGCTGTCTGGAGCCCCGCGATCCGCCGCCGCAGGTGTCCCCGTTATGAGCTGTCTCGCTGCAAGAAACGGGCTGTCAATTGCTCGCGCAGGGATAGGCAGGCAAGCGGGGGCGGGGCAAGAAATTTCCGCCTGCGCCACGTCCGGAGGCCCGCATTCCCGCCCCCCTGGCTCCCCGCACTCACCGGGGCCTCCGCTTCCCCCCGGGGGAAATGCGGCGGGGAGCGTGGCGGGCGCGTCGGGGACGCATGCGCGCGCGGGGAGGGCGGGGGGCGCAAAGGCGGGGGTGATTGCGACGACTCTGCGCGCCATCTGGCGGGAGGAGGGCATCCGCGGACTGTACAGGGGGCTGTGCCCGTCCGTCGTGGCGCTGCTGCCGAACTGGGCGGTAAGGAGGGCGCGTGGGGCGAAGGGGGAAAGAGAGGCGGTCTGGTGCAAAGGATAAGGGAGAGGGGGTTGCAGGAAAAATAAGAGACAAAAACAAAACGAAAAACAAACAAACAAACAAACAAACGTACCAATGACAAAGGCCGAAGCAAAATCAGAAAGCAAACAAGAAGTACAAAAAAAGAGCAGGAGCAGAGAGGAGGGAGAGGAAGGGAGGGGGTTTGTAGAGGGGGAAGGAGAAAGGTTGAAAGGGAAGGGGGAGAAGAGGAGTATTGAGCAGAATGAGTGTGCTCAAGGGAGGTGTTAGGTAGGATGTGGGTGGAGAAGAAGCAAAGGAATGACATGTGCCCTTCTAGTTTAATCCCACTAAATAGTGTCGAGCCACTTTTAGTAACAATGCCGTTATTAGTATGGGATGCGTTTGCACTCCATGTGCATTGCATGGGCATGCAAACTTGCTCCACCCGCAGGTGTACTCTTAAGTGTACGACCATCTCAAGGCACTTTAAGAATTCTCAAAAGTGACTTCTTAGTGTACCTCATCCCAAGAAGATGCTCAGTGCACCCAAACCGACTCATGCCCATCCCATGTCCTATGCGTTGCTTTCTGTCTGCATTCCTCTCCCACCGATGGCTCATGTACGCCCCTCCCCACCCACAGGTGTACTTCAGTGTACGATCATCTCAAGAAGATGCTCAGTGCAACAACGCCTGGGCATGCCCATCCTTTCTCACATGCGCTACTTGCTGTGGTTTCCCCCACCTCCCACCTGCCTTCCCACCCACAGGTGTACTTCTCGGTATACGATCATCTGAAGGAGATGCTCAGTGCACCTGACTCATCACTGGTTAACGTGCGGTTCCCCCCACCTCTTCACCACCCCCCTCTTCACCCGCTTCTTCCCCCCATCCCCCCCCGGCAGGTGTACTTCTCAGTGTACGACCATCTCAAGAAGTTGCTCAGTGCACCCGACTCCCATTTCAGCAGCAGCAGCAGCAGCAGCAGCACAGGGAGGGGATGCACAGGGGAGGGTTGCACTGGTAGTTCCAGCGGCAGCAGCAGCAGCAGCAGAGGCAGCAGCACCACTGGGGTCAACTGCACGGGGGTGTGCTGTACAGGGGACTGCACTGGAGTGCCCTTCCCCTCCTCCTCTTCCCCTCCCCCTCCGCCGCTCCTCACCAGCGTCACAGCAGCAGCGGGCGCCGGTGCCACCACTGCCATCGTCACCAATCCCCTCTGGGTCGTTAAAACCCGCCTGCAGGTATGGGGGAGACAATAATGCGTATACCAATGCTGCTGGTACAGCGACAGGGAAGCAACGACAAAGTGCTCTTGGGTGGCCACAGTTGCCGCCACTGCCATCGTCACCAACCCCCTCTGGGTCGTGAAAACGCGCCTGCAGTTGTGGGCGGGGCTGCTTGTATGAAAACAAAGCAAAGTGCTGCCTGCATGAAAAAGAAGCATAGTGCTGCTTGCAAGGGGGTGGCTGGCAACAGGTGCTGCCACTGCCATTCTCACCCCTTCCCTCTGGGCCGTGAATAACAACCATACCTCCCCCATGCCTTCCTCACTCCTCACCCGCACCTTCCTCACTTTTCTCCTGCGCCTTCCGCATCCCTCTTCTTGCCTTCCGCTTATCCCTGCGTGACCCAGGCTCGGCGCCCCCTCTACCTGTCCCACAAGGGCGCAAGGCCTTTATCTCCCAACAGAGGCACTGAAAACTGGCTTTTCTTTTCTCTCCTGGCTCTCCCTCTTACTCTCCCTCTTATCACTGCCAGACCCAAGGGCTGCGCCCTCACCGCCTACCATATAAGGGCACGGTGTCGGCACTGGTGCGCATATTCAGAGAGGAGGGCGTGGCAGGGCTGTACAGGTGTGTGTGACGGAGGAGGGGAGTGGGGGAGGAAGGGAGGGAGCGAGTGAGTGAGTGGTGGAGTGAGTGAGGGGGTGAGGGAGGGAAGGGGAATTGAGTGTCTGTGCATGTGTGAGTACCTGAACCTCTCCAGGACAGACAGTTAGCATTGACCTCCCTTTGTTACTCTTCCCCTCTTATTTCACTCACCGTTGAGCTTGCTCCTCACTTCTTGTAACACCCTTCGTCATCCCTACCACTCCCCTGTCACTCCCTCTCTTCTTCCCAGCGGGGTGGTGCCGGCACCTGCAGGAGTGAGCCACGTGGCCATCCAGTTCCCCCTCTATGAGCACCTCAAGCACCCCAGGGCACACAGGAAACATCCTCTCCTTCCCCCTTTCCCCTTTCTCCGCTTCTCTCCTGCAGTGGGTGGTCCCAGCACTGGCAGGAGTGAGCCACGTGGCCATCCAGTTTCCCCTCTATGAGCACCTCAAGCAGACCATGGCGGAGAGAGCACGCGTCCTCCTTTCCCTCCCTTCCCCTTCCCATACCTCGTTTCTCTCCCGCACCTTCCAACCTCGTTCCCCTCCCTCACTCCCCCTTCCCCTCTTCTCCCACTCACCTTGCAACCTTGCTCATTGCCCTTTTTTCCCTCACAAACCCTCTATTCTTCCTCCCAGCGGGGTGGTGCCAGCACTGGCAGGAGTGAGCCACGTGGCCATCCAATTCCCCCTCTACGAGCACCTCAAGCAGACCATGGCGGAGAGGGCAAACACCAGTGTCGATAAGCTATCTCCCATCGACCTCGCTCTGGCGTCTGCAGTCTCCAAAGTGGTGGCCTCCACCCTCACATACCCTCATGAAGTACGTGCGTGTGTGCGTGTTGTTATTTGTGTGTACACTGCAAGTTGATGGCGCTCTTCTAAGCATGCATATGTAGTTATGTTTACTCTTTCGCAAAATTTCATGTTGCGCTATTTTGTCCCTTGTCTGTCAATGTGACATTGTTCCAAACTGTGCCTGTGCTCCAATACGTCTGTCAATGTGCCTGTGCTCCAATACGTCGGATGCGCCAGGTCGTGCGGTCGCGACTGCAGGAGCAAGGCCAAGCAATCGCAGCAGCGGGAGCAGATGGCAGCGTGCCCCGCTATCTTGGTGTCATCGATTGCATACAAAAGGTGCTCTACTCATATCTTTGTTAGATTTTTCTTTATCCCCAATCCCAATCCTTCTTTTTAATGGCTCTCACGTTAACGAGCATCCCCTCTGCATCTTTCTCATCACTGCCTTGAATGAACACAACCTCCTGTGTTATGCATTGCGTACAGATTATCAAATACGAAGGTGCTCAAGCGTTCTACAGAGGATGCGTTGCAAACTTGTACAGAACTACTCCAGCAGCTGTCATCACTTTCACGTCATTTGAGCTTCTGCTTCGGTTTCTTCCTGTAGCATTTCCGCAGGCCGACACGCAAGTGTTGGTGATGGATGCTCCAGATCAGGAATAGAAAGAATGAATTCATAGGTTCCGCGTCCTGCTTGTTTTTAATATGAGATGTGATTTCTTTCACCATCTTGTTACGTGTTCCACTTCAGCAAGGCTAGTGTATTTGGAGTCGAATGGTCGGTGGAACCGTGCTGGCGACTGGTCCCAGTGCTGTGCTGACTGCTCAACAGAAGCTTCCCGCGCTGCTTGGTTGAAAAGCTTTCGCCGTCAGCGTCTCGCCAAGTGCTATTTCGCATTCCACGTCAGCGACATGCACTCAGATAAACTTGGATGGTTTCTGGTTGAGTTACGGTGCAAAACGGTTGATTGCATGCTGGTTTATTAGACAGAGGGTTCCAGCGGGGCCGCCTACTGAGCTTTAGCCATCAAGCTTGCGTGACCCGCAACAGGCGCAAACAAACGAGAAATCGACGGTCCTGAAGAAGTTTCTCCCTCCCTCCTGTCCTCATCGGCGCTTCCTCGATTCTTCCTTATCCGCAGCTTCCAAGGGGGATCCGCTCCGCACACGCTTCTGGCAAAAACGAACTCGGCAAAGCCGCTGGAATCCACCAGCACCGCGGTATGCCACTTTAGGACCTCTACCAAGTCTTCTCAACCGTAAATAACCTCCTCGAGTTCCAACCCAGCTCAACCCCTTCCCAGCCAATCTTGATTCGCCGCTCACCCGCAACTCCCCAAACCAGTCCCGCTGTCCCTCCCGCCCACTGCATCCCCCCAACCCCAATCCCGCCACCCTACTGTTGGTCCAACGAAGCAAACAAACCCTCGTCCGCGCGCGGAATGCGCGACCGCTCAGCACATCCATCCCGCCCATGCCTCCCCTCACCATCCCTTTCCCATTTCACCCGAAGCCCCCTCCCCCAACCTCTCCCCCCAGTGCCCCACAACACCCTTCCCAAGCTCCCATCCCCTCTCCCCACTTTCCCCGCCAACAGTTCCATGCCCCAGCGTGCTACCCACCCGCCACATCTTTCCCACCCCTTTCCTTCCCACCCTCCCAGCTCCACGGCTTCTGTTGGTTTCTTTCTGCTTCCTCGATTCTTCCGTGCATTTGTTATTTCTGTGAAGTGGAGGTCTTTGACTCGACTTGGCAATCACACAGCGCACCCTCTTTTGTCCGAACCAGTGCTGTCTTCGAACCGCTTTTTTCATCGAGTACGAGCTGGTGAGCAGAAATATCTGATCAGTTATTGAATTCGCACGTGCGCCTAAGCCGGACTAATTTGCTGTCGCTGCGATGTTGGCCTGTAGATTATTTGAGCAACGCAGCTGTCGGCAGAGCATGGATCTTGAACAGCGGTATGGGGAGAAAAGACCTTTTGAAGAAGGGAACGGGGAAAGTCAGTCCCCTGAAAAAAGGCACCGAGGACCGACGATAGCTAAGTAGGTTATATTGCCACGTGAATCGTGTCATCGCGTCGTCGTCTCGTCTCAAGTCTAACAACCTCGCGCTCACTGTTTTTTCCAGTGTCGTGGTGGAGACGGTCAAGATGGACAATTTGGCAAAATTGTGCACCGTTCTGGAGCCTTTGCTTCGACGCGTGGTACGTTGCAAGTTGTGCTCGGACAAGGCGCATTATTCTTATTTGATTATGATCTCGACGTATTAACAAGCGACTAGTTTTTCAGGTGTCTGAAGAAATTCAAAAAGCGTTTGCAACTTACCAGCCGTTATCGACCTCTAAGCCGCCATTACGGTAGGTTCTTGGCGACATTAAACAAAGGGTGAAGTTTGAGATAGTCGAACACTAGGTTGTAAGGTATCGTTGAAGGCCTGTTTGACTCACTGTAAGGGGATCGGTCATTTTCAGTCGATAACTTATTGGCCCATAGAACTTCGGTGGCAATCCTTTCCGTGACTCACACCTGTTTTCGGCGATTAGTTTCTCACAGTGGTGATGTGTTCATCGCGAGGGTGTAAAAGGCTTGGCTGGGTAAAAGAGTGTGTCTTATCGTTAGAAAGGAGGTAAGGCGGTGATTTTGTATGTTCAAGTCCAGATGGAATGCTGGTTGGTTATGAGGAGCTCTGTTGTGTTTGTTAAAAGCGGTTATCAGGTGCTAATTGCTGGGAACAGTAACTTGGATTATTTGTACTTGGATGGCAGACCTGGTGTAAGGCTTTTGACGCTGGGCTGAGCCAAAGGGATTTTCCCATGGGCTGGTCGTTTTCCTGTTTCTGTTTCTCCTTTTCTCTGCGCTCCACGTTATTAACCAGCAGAACATCTTGAATGTTTTTTTCCATGCTATGCTCTTCTCGCCCATATTTCAGCAGTCTTGAAGCTCCTAAACGACTACCAGCCAATGGCGTCAAGCGGGACCTGCGGCTACAATTCCGCAACAAGTTGGCACTTCCTTTGTTCACCGGAGGGAAGGTGGAGGGCGAAGGGAATGAGCCAATCCGAGTTTTTCTTCAAGACGGAGAGACAGGTGCTGTGGTTACCACAGGACCTGAGGCCAATCTGAAGCTTGAAGTTGTGGTGCTTGAAGGAGACTTCAGCAGAGACGATGAGGATGATTGGCTACCAGTAAGATCTCTCGCTGTCCACTCTTGTTCTTAAAAATTGTTCAAATGTTCTGGCTCTGAGTTTCGGCCTTTCCTGCAGTCTCAGACTGAACAACCTGCTGTTTTGTGCAGGGAGAGTTCGACCAGTTTTTGGTGAAAGAGAGAGATGGCAAGAGGCCGCTTTTGACCGGCGAGACCTTTGTGGTGCTGAAAGATGGGCTCGGGGTCATGGGTGAGATCACGTTTACAGACAACTCCAGTTGGATCCGGAGTCGCAAATTCAGGCTGGGAGTGAGAGTGTTGCCAGGCCAGGTTGGGGAGAGCAGGGTACGAGAAGGGAAGACAGAGGCGTTCACAGTCAAGGATCACCGTGGAGAATGTAAGCTGCTGAATGTTTGGCCACCCGGGGTTTGATTTGTTTCCTGTGATGCGATGCGCGTGAATCCGGTGCTTCTATCCCGGTCGAAAGGCGGGTTTGCTGATGCCGTTTTCCCTTACCATTTCTCTTCCTGGCTGTGCAACAGTGTACAAGAAGCACTACCCGCCTGCTTTGACAGACGAAGTGTGGCGGTTGGATCGCATAGGCAAGGATGGCGCCTTCCATAAGCGCTTGAATCAGGCTGGAATTTTCACAGTAGAGGATTTCCTACGGCTTGTTGTCATGGACCCACAAAAACTACGAAATGTAAGTGCTGGTTCTCCTGGAAGCCTCTTGGCACATCCACTCCGCCATAATGTGCGTACCTGAATCTGATTTGCCTTTTTAATTTGCCAGATTCTTGGTTCAGGGATGTCAAACAAGATGTGGGAGAACACAGTGGAGCATGCAAAGACTTGCGTGCTGAACGGCAAGCTGCATGTGTACTATGCGGATGACAAGCAGAACATTGGTGTCATCTTCAACAACATTTTCCAACTCATGGGCCTTATTGCAGACAGCCAGTACATGTCCGTGGATCTTCTTTCTGAGAGTGAAAAGGTAAAACAGACTCTGTCATTCTTTTGCAGGTTAATGCAACAAAGCAGTTTTTTGGGGAGAAACCCACAAATCAAGCATTTTATTTCAAGCGACTCGTTTATTCACAACAATGGTGCGATGACAGCTGCTGATGCGTTGAGCCTAAGCCCCATCCTGTCTAAACCCTGTTTTCTGATGCAGATTTACGTGGATAAGCTGGTCAAGGTTGCGTATGAGAACTGGGAGAATGTTGTGGAGTATGATGGGGAGGCTCTTATAGGGGTCAAGCCAAGTGGTCTAACAGCTCTTGATGCGACCACTGATGACCCCGGTGCAACACAAAGAAGTTATTCCTCTGGCCAGTATACATGAGATGGGACATCTGCTGCAGGTTATTAATTCCCTGGTAAGCTCTCTCTCCCTTCCCTCCCTTCCTCTTCTCTACTTTCTCTACACCCCCTCCCCCCTCCCACTCCACTCTCTTGCTTTTTTTCCTGAAACCTACAACCACGTTCACGCACACGAGCACAGCCGCATGTGTGACACAGCAAGAGCAGTTGTCTGCACACAGCACTACGCACTGCATGTGTACCAGATACGCTCCTTTCTGCTTCTTTCACATTCTCATGCCGATCTAATGCAGATTTTGTGTTTTGCAGGTTGTACAGAATATAGGACATGTTCAGCTAGGCCACCACCTTGATACTTGAAGGAGCTTATGGTATATCTTTAGCTTATGGATTGTGGTTGCTTTAGCTTATCTGATCCATCAATTTTGTTGCGCAGATGGAAGTGACATTTCTCGTAAGATCAAGCAAGCCAAGAATCAGCTATAGCAGATTTTTTTATTAGTAAGCATCACGACTATCCGTCCACCTTTTGACGAAGACTACACTACGAAGCGAAAACTAGGTTCGCCGTACGCAATCATGAGAGCCTGCCTCTGTGGCTTGGCAGGCCAAATCTAGAGAACTACATGCCACCTCATCCTGACGCAGAAGCAACCGCATACACGCACAGCTTGCGTTCATCATGCTTCTTTTACCCAATCAGAACGATCGAGGTGAGAGGCGGTCTGGTTTAAGTGGATGATGGGTTCTGCGTCAGAGAAGCGCCTCGGCTGAGCCCTCCACATCAGCTGAATAGCCGCATGGCACAGCCTGATGTGCTTGAAGATCTTTCATTACGACTGAGCCGGGCAGTCGAAAGAAAATGCCTTCGGCTGCCGCATGGGAGATTCAGCACTGTTTGAGCATGCCCGTCCGCACTCCCATTGGTGTAGCTTCTTCCGGGCAGACGGTATGGGAGCAAAAAAGGACTGCTGTCCCCCTCAACATCTGTTTAGCCCTTCGCAAGAAAGGGTAGCATTCGGTCGGGATGGGATTGCTGTCGTGAATCCTCTGCCTGCAGCAAAAGGCATGAATGCGAGCGAAGAAGCATGGGAACCTAGGGTACGGGATGCGCTCCAGCGAGAAGGGGCAAGAAAGCACGCTTTGCCACCCTAACAAGCCAAGGTAGGATATTCATTCCTCTCAGTAACTGGGTGCTGGTGTTAGCTCTTCTCGCTTGACTCTCAAGTGCTTGCACCAGCGGCTTCTAACCCCTCATTTAAGGTGTTCTCATTTACGAATTCCTATCTCTCTTTGGGCTCCCTCGTTCATGAATTTCGTTAGTTTCATTTGTCACGCTCTCGCGCGCCCATTCTAGTGTCACCTTTTTCTTGCTTCGAGGGGACGTGCCGTCGCACTTCATCTGCAGCTGTTTCGTCTCAGGCCTCTATCTGGAGCATTATATCTGAAGCCCTTTCATCCCTAATACCATCGTACATAGCAAACCTATCGGTGACTGTGGTGGGATACAGCAATGGCTCATCTGTCCTCAGTCACTCCGCTCGTCTTTCTTCGTCCGCCGGCAAAAGCTGAAGCTGTCGTCGGGTGAATAGGCGCGCTTTCGTGGGCGTTGACTCTCAAAGCTACTAGCGGGGCGCTCGAAGCTTTTGAATCTTCCAAAGCGTTTTGAGGTCTTTTAGGCCAAACCAGAAGGACGAGAGAAAGGGAAGAGAAACAGAGACAGGGAAAGAAGGAAGGTCAAGAGCACGGAACGAGAACCGAAGCACGTTGACGCGATGGGCAGTGCGTGCTCTCGTCGACTCCGCCACGGCTCCAGCAGCTACGGCGGCAGCTCCACCGGCGGCGGCGGAGGCGGAGCGATGGACGGAGGCTCCAATCGGGGGAGGTTGAGCGCGGAGGGCAGATTTGCGAGCGAGCGGCGGCACCTGCACCACTGCCACCAGCACTGCCAGGGGCCGCGGTTCCACTGCGACGGAAAGGACGTCCACGTGGATTGGGACACTGCTGACGACGCTCGCGATGGGGACGAGTCCGGCGAGGGGCTCTTTTGGTCGACGGCGTCGATTCCCGTTGCCATGTGAGTTGCCGTCGCCGTTAGTTCTCCATCCTTATTACTGGTGAGATGCGCCCTACCTCCCATCACTTCCTAACTTGTATATCTTGCCCACTTTTCCCCACTTTCTCCCCCATTCCCTCCGTCGTCCCTCACCCCTCGTCTTTTTTTTCTTCTTTTACAAAACTGTTTTTCTGGCAGGCTGAGCCAACGGTCGTTGACAGGGGCGAGAATGGGCAGCGCGAACGGCCAGGCCAGGCTTGCTAGTGGAAGCAGAGGTAACACCGAGAATTGCGGCAGTCGCAGCCTCGGCAGCAGCAGCGTCGGCAGCAGCAGACTCGGCAGTAGCAGCCTCGGCCGCAGCTCGAGCAGCGGCACCACCATCAGCGACGGCAGCATGTTTACCATTCGCAGCACGCGCAGCACGGGAAGCACGAGCAGCACGGGCAGCGTGGGCAATCATCAGCAGCGGGGGAATGATGGAGGCGGAATGCGCAGTGAGATGGCGTCGCCTGTTGGAATTCCCAGGGGTGAGGCCGAGCAGGGACACGAGAGCGAGGAGAGGGGAGCAAACGTGGTTATGTGGCTAGATGCGAACGTAACTGTCGACGGTGATGGTGATGGTGGTGCTGGTGGTGGTGTCGGTGGTAGTGATGATGCTGCTGTTGTTGCTGACGGTATTGCTTCTGGTGATCGTTCTGCTCCTACCACTGCTGCTGCTGCTGCTGCTGCTGCTGCTGCTGCTGCTGCTGCTACTCCTTCTGGTGCTTCTGCGGCTGCTTCATCGGCTGTTGCCAGTGTTGTTGCTGCCACTACAGCAGTCACCCGCGTGTACCCAGATTCTTCTTCTGCAGCTGCTTCTGCTGACGCTCCCACGACGACTTCAACAAGCAGCCATGGAGGGCTCGCCAGCCGCGACCCGTTCAGCAGCCGGCTGTGCTCGTGCTGCTGCTGCCACTGCTGCTACGCGCTTGCCTTCCTCTCTGGTCGCTGGGAACCACCGGAAGAGCAGCGACAGCAGGATGCGCGGTCGCTGCTGCCGCAGAAACAGCAGCAAGTGCAGCAGCAGTGGGATAGTCAGCTGCAGGGGCAGCAGCCTCACAGGCAGCAGCAGCTGCGGAGGGCGAGAAGCATGGGCACCGGAGCAGGAGGGATGGCGGTTGTAAGGAGTGGTGGTGGGGGCAGATGCAGCACCGTCATCATCAGCGGGAGCAGTACCAATTGCAGCAGCGGTAGTGGTGGCGCCAGCAGCAGCAGCAGTGGTGGCAACTGCGGCAGCAATGGCACGGCGAGGCGTGTGGTGGGAGGGCGGTGGCCAGCTGGCATGGCCAGGCTGTCACTTGAGGAGCTTGCCACGCTGGCAGTCTGCCGTGATTTAATTCGCCGACCTGTAAGCAACATCTTTTCTCCTTCATCCCCCTCCTTCTCCATTTCATGCGCTCACCTTTCCTTTTTCCTCTCTCGTCCCCTTATCGATCTTAAACCTGCAAGCACTTTGTGAGACGAGTTCCACCATTTCTCGACTTATTGATTACCTTATCCAATTCCGTAACCTCCAATCAACCGATTACCCATCCATCTCCCCCTTCTGTTCGCCCTCGCCCTCCTCCCCTTCTCCTCCCTCCATCGCCTTTCCCTCCCTTCCCCGCGTTCTGTTTCTGCTGCGTGCAGTCAAGCTACCCGCCATCCAAGCTCGCACGTCTCTCCCCACACGTGCTGCAGTCTTTGCTCCACGTGCTCGTGCACGTCAGGGAGCTCTCCCTGCCGCTCCTACAAGCACTGCCCGCGCCACTCCTTGAGGTGAGCCTTTCTCGCCCTCTTGACACGCTTTCCTCTTCATTTCAAGTTCTGTGCTGCAGTCTCTGCTCCACGTGCTAGTACACGTCAGGGAGCTCTCCTTGCCGCTCCTGCATGTGCTGCCTGCGTCGCTCCTAGAGGTGAGCCTTCCCCAAGCTCCCTGGGCGCTCCTCTCCTTATGACAGGTTTCCTGACGTCTTGAACCACGTCAATGAACTCTTTTTGTTGTTTCTGCTTGCACATAATCCCACCAGTCCTATTAACCTTCGTTCCATTACATTCCCTGCCGCTCGCACTCTAATCCCACAACTGCGACCAATGTCACTCCCGATTCTTCCCCTTTTGCTTGCAGTCCCTGCCACTGGCGCATTACCCCAACCTCAACGATCGTTGGCTGGAGCTGCTGTCGCCCCACGCGCCCACACTGCTCTCCATCGACCTCTCCTTTGCTGCTGCTGTCACCGACGCTGGCATCCAGAAGCTTCTTTCCGGCGCCCGTCCTGCTATTCCTGCTGCCAATAGCAGTAATGCTGCTGCGGTTGATGCTGCTTCCACAAGTGCTGCTGGCGGTAATGATGCTGCAAGGACTGCTGCTCCTGCTGTTAACGACGTTACTCCTTGTTGTAACGCCAGCACCTGCAACGGCCACGACAGCACCGCCACCCCTCCCTTCTGCTCTCCTCTCACCTCTCCCCTCGCCTCCCCTCGCACTCCTCCTCTCTCTCCCTCCTCTCACAACCCCGCCTCCGTGGCCATCACCCTTCCCTCCACTCTCCCCCTCCCTTCCTCCTCATCCCACCCTCTCTCCACCACCCCAACCTCCACACTCGTTGCTCCATCCCCATCCCCCCTCTCAGCCTCCCCCTCCTCTCCCCCTATGGGTCTAACCACGCCCCAAGGCCGAAACCTGTCCTCCCCCACACTGTCCAACATCCGCCCTATAAGCAGCCCCGTTACCAGCAGCCCCGCTTCCAGCAGTAGCTCCCAAGAAGATCTGTCAGACGAAAGTTCATCGGAAGGAGTGTTTTTGGAACTGAGTCTTGGGGAGGAGGAGGGAGAGGAGAGGGAGGAGAGGAGGGTTGGAGAGGAGGACAATGAAGAATGGAGAGAGAGAGAAGAGAGAGATGAAAGGGAGAGGAGGGATTGCGAGGAGAGGAGGAATTTAAGAGAGAGTGAGATTCGCATGCGTCTGGTAGCGGCGAGGATGGAGAGGGAGAGGCGCGGGGATGAAGTCTGCAGCAGGAAACGGCAGAGGGGGGCGGGAGCATCAGCTACAGCTGCTGCCACAGACACAACCACAGCTACAGCCACAGCCACAGTTGCAGCCACAGCAGCAGCTGCAGCTGCAGCTGCTGCTACAGCTGGGGATGTATCGCTGGCTACAGCTGCCTCGCCGCTGCATGCGTCCCAGCTTCGCTCCCTGTGCCTTGATTGGTGCATCCAGATCACAGACGACGCGCTGGCTCCTCTTGCTGGTAAGTACATTGGATATGTTGGGAACCACTTGCAGTGTTGCACTGTGAGAATCTGTTTTGATACATTGACAACCCCCCCCCTCTCCGCTTCCGCCTCTTTGTACCCCCTCACCTCCTCTCCTCTCCCCTTCCCTTCCTTTCCCTCCGCTCCCTTCCAACAAATCAACCTGCCACCATCTCGCCTCGCGCAGCCCGCGTGCCTGCAACCACCTGTCTGCCTGCTGCTCCAGTACACCTGACCTACCCTCCGTCCCTCTGTCCTCCCCTCCCACATGCCCCTTCCCTTCCTTCCCCTCCCCTCCCCTCCCTCAAAACACATCAGCCTGCCACCACTTCACCTCGCTCAGCACGCGTGACTGCAACCGCCTCTCTGCTGCTGCGCAAGCTCGCCTGACCTATCCTTTGTTTGTCCCTCTATCGTCCCCTCCCACATGCCCCTCCCTCACATCAGCCTGCCACCATCTCACCTCTCTCAGCACACGTGGCTGCAACCGCCTGTCTGCTGCTGCTCTCGCTCACGTTGCCAATTTACCCTCCCTCACCCACCTGAACCTGGAAATGTGCGGCCTGCTCAAAGGGGGGATGCGGCACCTCACAGGTACGGCCGTGTTGTGATTTCAATGCTCTCACTGAACCACCTTCTACCGCTCTCGGCCACGTTGATAGACAATGACAACGTGGCAGACATAGCAGTTTCCCTGGTTCTCATTTCCCCTTTCCTGCTCCCCCCTCCCGTGCAGGGCTCTCCTCCCTCTGCACTCTCAACGTGGGCTGGTGCACATCTCTTGACGATGACGACATGGCAGACATAGCCCACCTGTCTTCACTGCAATCCCTCAATGTCTCCCGCTGCAAGATCACAGATCTGGGCCTCACGGCTCTTCTGCAAGGTAAGCCATGCAGCCGAGTCTTGAGAGGTGAAAGCAGTCAGGTAATTAACGCCTTTGGAAACCAGGGCGAGACTTTCAAGCAATCAGGCAAAAGAAACGCCTCAAGAATCCAGGGTGGGACGTCTTAAAACGAGATGCTGCAGCATCACGATGCATGCCTGACAGCTGTGTTCCAAGGCAAGAGTGCAGACGAGTCATAAAACATGCAGTAACACGATTTATGACCACAGCCAACTCAGAATGCATAACGGTCTGCTAAGCTTCGCCTCCTCTCCCCCATCCCTCCACACGCCCTACCCATCCCATCACATCCGCACCTGCAGCTCTCTCGTCCCTCACCAGTCTCAGCATGGCGGGCTGTCAGCATGTGACGGACACTGCTTTCTCCCTCATCTCTGGTAAGTCGCTCTGTTTCCCCCTTCCAGTAAGCAATTTCCCGCAATGTTCCTCTCATCCGCACTGATTTTCCATATCATTAGGATTTCAGCGTGTGACAAGCCCTGCTTTTCCCCTCATCCCTAGCCACACCTTTCTCCGTAATCCCCCTTTCCTTCCTTGTTCCACGCCAAGTCTTCCCTCCCTAACACTTCCACTTCTCACTCACCCACCTGTGCCACGTGTCAGGCGTTCACGGGCTGACTGAGCTCAACGTGGAGTGGTGTGCACTTCTCACCAACACGGGTCTAAAGCACCTGCAAGGTGGGGGAAAGAAACGGGGGGCGGGAGAGGGGGGAGGGGCGGAGGGGTGGGAGGGGAGGGGTAAGGAGGGGACGGGAGGAGGGGGGGAACGTGGAGTGGTGTGCACTGCTCACTGACACAGGTGGTGGGCAAAAGGGGAAGGGTTGGGGGAGGGGCAAGGGTGAAGGGGCGCGGCAAGAGGGGAGGCGGGGGTATGGAATAAGGTTTGGAGCGGAAGTGGGTGGGGGGAACGTGGAGTGGTGTGCATTGCCTACCAACACGTGCCCAAGCACCTGCAATGTACTTCCTTACTCCCCCTTACTCCTTTCCTCCAACTCTCACACCTGCGCCTGCTCTGGAATCAACTACACACCAATTCCCCCCCACCACCCCCTCCCACCTACCACCTGTGCTTGAGGCTTTTTTCTTTACTCGTTGCACTGTCCAATTTAGATTTTTCTCCTCTACTCTTCCCTTTCCACCCTTCCCTTTCCGTCCTTCCCTTTCCACTCTTCCCTTTCTTCCCGTCCCTTCCCGTCCTTCCCTTTCCGCCCTTCCCTTCCCACCCTTTCGTTTCAACCCTGCCTCTCATCCACCTACTCTCACATGTCTCACATCATTCGATCTGGCCTACATCGCTCTGGCTCGTCTCCCACTCTGATTACTTTCCTCGTCCATTCTTCCCCCCTCCCCCCTGCTACCCACTCCCCTCTGCCTCCCATCCCCCCTCCCCCCTGCCCCTCCCCCTGCCCCCCTCCCCCTCCCCCTCTCCCCCCCCCCCCCCTGCCACCCTCCCCCTGCCACCCCCCCCCTCCCCGTGCCCCCCTCCCCCGGCCCCCCTCCTCCAGCTCTCACGCGTCTCACATCAATTAACCTGGCCTACACACGCTTTGGCGTCATTGACACGCCGCGCAACAGGAGCATGCAGAGCGCGCCTTCCTTCATCTCCTGTACGCCTCCCATCCTTTCCACGTATCACACACCTCTCTATCAACTTCCATCTATTCATGCGTCACACGCTCGCCCTACCAACCCCTTCATTCACCGCACTTTCTGTATCAACTCCTTCCTCCATCACACAGCCATTCCCAATCTGCTTGCTTGTCCCACAGCATTCCCAACCAACCCCACCCACCTCCTCCCTCCACGTCCGTTCTTACCGCTGCTGCTCGTTACTGCTGTGCGGTGAGGTTTTGCTTCTGCTTTTGGAACCTACATAAACTGCTGCTCACCCGCCCTATGCCCACCCCTCTCCTCCCTCCCCTCCCCTCCCCTCCCCCCCCCCCCCCTCCCCTCCCCTCCCCTCCCCCCTTCCCTCCCGTCCCCTCCACTGCAGCGCTGCGATCTCTCCGCCACCTCAACCTCGACTCATCACGGGTCAATGACCTTGCTATGGCAGAGCTTGCAGGTAAAACATGTTGGTACCAGCTTGCGTTGTTCTTCCTTCTCCGTTTTTTTTTTCCCTCATTTTTTTTATATTTACAAGTTCAAAAGTTTCCCTATCACCCACAAACCTGCCCGGAAATTGGAAATCCCTCTCATAAGTCCCCCATTCTCTCCCATTGCAACTCTGCTGTATGATTCCTCACAGGTCTCACTGCCCTTGAGAGCCTTGATCTGTCGGACTCCACAGTGGGGGATGCAGGGATCCGCAATGTCTCTGGTAAGCCCTTGTGGCAGGCATGCCTTCTGTTAGCCTTCCCGCCTCCCCCTTCATGAAATCCTCTCTATACCACTCACGTCTCACCGCCCCCGAGAGCCTTGATCTGTCAGACTCCACAGTGGAGGATGCAGGGATTCGCAGCGTCTCTGGTAAGAAGTGGGTGATATTGATAACCCCTTGCTCCTTTCCTTTTTTTTTTCGTCTTCTTCTTCTGTTTTTGGTGTCCTCTTCTCACGTCTGACTGCTCATTGTGCCACCTCTCCCCTCCTTCCCCACCCCTTTCGCCTCTCCCGTCCACATCTCTTTCACTTCTCCCGAGTCCTCTTAACAACCATGACTCGCCTCTCCACCCTCACTATGAGCTTCAGCAATGTCACTGACGGTGGTGTGGTTAACACTACCCCACTTGTCCCCCTCTCTCCCCTCTCTCCCCACCAACTCTCCCCACCTTTTCCCTCCCAATACAGCTATGACTCGTCTCTCCACTCTCAACCTCAGCTATTGCAACGTCACCGACGCCGGTGTGACCAGCATCGCTCACCTCTCCAACCTCACCTCCCTCTCGCTCGACACTCGCTCCATCACAGATGCCGGGCTGAAACGCCTGTCAGGTGAGATGGAACGCCTGTCAGGTGAGATGAAACGCCTGTCAGGTGAGATGAATCGGTTGTCAGGGTGAGATGAAACGCCTGTCAGGTGAGATGAAACGCCTGTCAGGTGAGATGAAACGGTTGTCAGGTGAGACGGTGATCAGGTTGGATGAAACAGCTGTCACGTCATAGACGGTCCAGAGTCCCATCGTTTCCCTTGCTTTCAATTCTCACCCCCTTCCCCCTCCCTCCCTTTCTCCATTCCCCCCTCGCTCCCCTCTCGCGCCCCCCTCCCTCTATTATCGTCCGCCCCCACCACCCCTCCAGCCCTGACCAACCTTACCAGCCTGGACCTGTTTGGAGCACGGGTAACGGATGAAGGCATGGCAGTGGTCAAAGGTGAGTTGGGGAGGAAGGGGTGAAAGGTATACGGGGAAGGGGGGATGGGGGGCTGGGAAGAGGAAGTGAGGAAGGAGGGTGGAAAGTGGGGTTGGTGGTCATGCAGCAGGATGGATGAGCTGTCCTTATGCCTGATTTGTGAGTCGACTCAATTTTTGAGTCGACTCAAAAATTTGGAAAGTGGGGTTGGTGGTCATGCAGCAGGATGGATGAGCTGTCCTTATGCCTGATGCACGCAACCTGATGCCGGTGCTTTAGGGGCATCGCTGGGTCTTGCTCGCTTCTTGCTGCCCCCATGTTCAACGTGTGCCTCTAACTCAGGCTACAAGATGCATCAGGTGTTGGAGGTGTGTGGGGGATGCATCACGGACAAGGGAGTGAAGAAACTCGCTTCACTGCCACTGAACTGCCTCGCACACTCCTCTTCCTTTCTTCATGCTTCCCATATACCCCGTAACACAGGCTTCAAGAAGCTGCAGGTGCTGGAGGTGTGTGGGGGCGGCATTACGGACAAGGGAGTGAAGGAGCTCGCCTCACTGCCCCGTCTGGCCTCCCTCAACGTCTCTCAGAACCTGCGTATCACAGATGCCGGCGTCAAGGCTCTGGCAGGTGCGATGGGGAATGGGTCTGTATTGAACTCCCTGGCTTGTGAGTGCTGCTGCTGCTGCCTCGACTCGCCTCCCTCAACGTCTCTCAGAACCTTCGAATCACCGATGCCGGCGTCAAGGCTCTGGCAGGTGCGATGGGGAATGCTGCAGTATGAAAAGTATTAACTGAGAAGCCATAGGGAAGGTACCATAGCCATAAGCAGCTGCTTTTCTGTCAACTCGGAAGAACAGTGCACTGCTGCCTAGATTGGCACTCCTTACATCTTTCATATTGCTCTGCTCTGCCGAGTGCATTGTGCACCATGGTTCTTTCTAAATCCAGGTCTTCTAACTCCCACAATCCCCTCTTTCTCCCATACTCCCATCCCTACACTCCCCATTTTCACACCCGCAGCACTCACCTCTCTGAAAACCCTCAACCTGTCAGGCTCAGGTGTCACCCGCAACGGTCTCGCCCACCTGCTCGCTCTTTCCCGCCTCACCTCCAACAATCCCCGCTCTCCCCCCATTCTAATCCCCCTTTTACCCCCCTGCAGCGCTCACCTCTCTGGAAACCCTCAACCTGTCCGGGTCAGGAGTAAGTTGCAACGGCCTCGCCCACCTGCTCGCCCTCTCCCGCCTCACCTCCAACAACCCCCGCTCTCTCCCCATTCTAATCCCCCTTTTCCTCCCCTGCAGCGCTCACATCTCTGGAAACCCTCAACCTGTCGGGATCAGGAGTAACCCGGAACGGTCTCGCCCACCTGCTCGCCCTCTCCCGCCTCACCTCACTCTCCCTGCACGGCTGCAAGGTGCACAGAGCACACCTGAATCAGCTGCTCGTCTCCCCTCTATGCGACTGGGACCCAAGCCTCACTGTCACGGGCGTCAACTGATCTTAGCCCTCTCACAGTCTTCCTTGCCGGCCTCACCTCACTCTCCCTCCACGGCTGCAAGGTGCACAGAGCGCACCTCGACCCTTTGCTCGTCTCCCCCCTCTGCGACTGGGACCCGAGTCTCACTGTCACAGGGGTCAACTGATCTTAGCCCTCTCACAGTCTTCCTCTCCTGCCTCACATCACTCTCCTTGCATAGCTGCAAGGTGCACAGAGCTCACCTCAACCGCTTGTTGGTTTCCCCTCTCTGCATCGGGAGCCAGGCCTCACTGTCACGGGAGTCAATTGATGTGTGCAATTGCTTCTAGCTTTGGGCATTCTCGGATGAAAGCATTCTCTTGGGTGGGTAACCGGGTTAGGGTAGGGTTTACATCGAGGAAGATAAAGCGTGAGGGGGCTGTGCATGTGAAGTCCTAATGTACATATGTATATACGCGTGTGGACCAGGGGGCGTACTGGTTGATACATCTTTGAATGCTCTTTGGATGTGTAACAATGATGTAAACCACTGTGGTAGTCATAATTTTGATATGGAGGGAGTGCAAAATGGTTTGTTCTATGAAGGGAAAGGATTTTGCCAATGCTTTTGGTGCTAATCACGCTATTGAAAATTTGCAGCTATCAAGAAACCCACGAGATATCCCCATTATCAAGCTTCCAGGGCTCAAAAGGCCGAAGAACTCGGGGTTCAATGATGTCTATTCCGCGACAGTCGCTCGCGACATGGTAACACTTTGCGAAAACATACTCACGGTGCAGATGCGTAGAAAAGCTCCACCCACATTTTTCGCGAATAAAAGGGGCCAATTCAACGAACAACCAGCACAGGCGCTTCGGGCGCCACCTGCTATCGTTATCTTTCTGTTTTCCTATCAATCCTATTACTACGTGCTTGGGAGTCATTAGTGTTGCGCTAATCACCGCCGTTGCCAGCAGCTACGTCTGTTTCGCGCAGCTGGGGCGCGCGGGTGCGCTTTTACGACGCACTGCACTCCCATCAGCGCGTCTTCTTCTCGTATGAAAAGGCGCTACGAGGGACAAAGAACACGGCGTGTAAAAGCATCGTACTTCGCCAGGGTGCCCCCGCTCCGCATTGGCTGTGTTCCAGGGAGGTCGGACGAGCGCGCGCCAACATTAGCGTTGCGTCATCGCTCAGTCGAGAATGTCGTCCAACGAAATAGCGCCACGTGGCGACGGGCGCTTGGAGGAGCTGCTGGAAAGCGGCATGTTCGCTGACGTAACGCTGAGAGCGGGCGACGCGGATATTGCCGCGCACCGGTGCATCCTCTCGTCGTGGTACGTGCGACGCCACGTGCGACGTTACGTGCGACGTCGTGTACGACGCTATATTGATTCCACGTCCGCAATTCGCATATTCCCCCCTGACGTCCGTAATTCGCCAGACGACTTGCCGCATCGCCGTTTGACAAAACGTTCTCGCGTTGTCCTAAAACGCTCCAGGTGGTAAAAATCACGTCGTTATCCTGATGACGAAGCACATGCGCTCCCCGCAACGTGCGAAGAACGTCCGAACAGCTGTTTTAATCAAGGCCTCTTGGTACCCTTCATCTGCTATTTTATCAGGTCTCCTGTTTTCAAGAAGATGTTCACGAACGGCTTTATGGAGACATCGGAGCGGCCTATCGTGAGGATGGACGACATGGACGAATGCACCCTGCGTCTCTTCCTGCGCCTCATCTACGCGGGCGGATGCAACCTCCCCAAGAAGTACCTGCTGGTGCGCTCCCATCCCGGGTGTGTCCCGTCCCGTCCCGCATCCGATACCTAGTGGTAGTATCTTGCACTAGTACTAACATCTATTGCAACCGAGAAATTCCTGACGCTAATAAATATGACTTTTCCAACCTGCATCCCCTTACCTTCTTCCCAGAGCCACGGGCTGCAGCTGCTGACGTCAGTGAACAAGTACGATATCCTGGAGCTCTTGTACGCGCTGGACGGCCAACTGGCGGCTGTCGCGGCGGAATCTGGGGACCTCCAGCTGGCATTTGACGGCCTACACGTGGCAACGGCTCACGGCGCAGTGCAGTTAGCTGCTTGGTGCAGGGAGAAGATTTTTGAGTGCAGTGGGCAAGAAGCGTGCATCGCTAAAATAAAGGTGCGCTTAATGAGGACAGAACCTGTTTGCGTACGTACATACTTTACATGCTTATTCGTATAATTGTTTTGCAAGATTGTAAACGTATGTGCAGGAAATGGTTATGAGCGACTCCATTCAAGAAAGGCTCCTCTCTTTGGATGTGATGGAGTTTGTTTTCAAACGGGCATCCAAGAAGCGGACTTCTAGTGTGATGGATGGGTCAGTTTTCTATCGCTAACGAACTATTATTTTGCTCGAAATCTATTTATATCCTGAAATCGAAGAAAGAGGGATCCATTCACATACCAGTACCACATGTTTTGAATCAAGTAACAGTTATGATTATGATAAGGGCAAACTTATTCGAATCGGCTAACTGCTTCTGCATTAGTCTCTCATTTGGAGGCAACCACTTCCAGGATACGGTATATAAGATGCGTGTGCTATTTTTTTTGTGTTTTTAGACTTGTCCATAATGTTGATTTAGCTAGTGATACAAATAAAAGAAAACATATATGATTTATGCACTTCTGCCGCCGTTTCTGGTTATCCATTTCAAGCCCTCACCCGGCAAGTGAAATTCCTGGCAACTCACGAGTTCAACAACTCCATGTTGGGAAGATGACAAAAGGTCGGCAGCATACTGTAGCCAGCAGTCGTAGGGGCTTACACATGTAAAAATGTTTCAGCACGAGACTCAATTCCTTTGAGGGGACCCCGGCAATTCTTAGTACGAATGGGGTTTGCTATGCCAAACTCAGGAGCTAAAGGGGCTAGGGAGTTAGTTAAATACTGTAATGTATCTCAACCGTGTGTACAGTTCACATCGAAAAGGATGAGTGCAAGGGGCAGCGAAACGAACAAGGTGTACAGTATAGCGTTGTGCAGCGCCTTGGAAGTTGTGTTTGTGTTCCGCAAATTCGCAGTGTCCGAACCGAGATCGTTTTGGAAGTCGCAACCGCAAAAGCCAAAATCTCCCGCGCGCGGTCCGGGCAAAGTTTCGTTCGCCGCCACATACATTTGTCGCGAACGAGTCTCACCTGGTTGTCGCTCGAGTAATGCGGCTGCCACTTTGCAGTGGCTGCTTTCCCGCAGAGTCGCAGCGCGTCGCTTTGCGTCGCGATCAGTGAGGAGCGATTCGCCTGCGAAATGTGCCTTCTGCACTATCTGGGCAAGGTTCGCTGCGCATTCCCGTTGTCAGATGTCCGCCACACAAGAACACAGTACAAAACATCACTTGCTTGCACCCCATCAGCCCCACCACCCCAGCGTAAATTGCATCGCCTGACCGCGTCCCCGGTTCGGGATCACTGTACTACACACATACGGACTTCGTAGCTCCGGACAGAAACTTTTCTCATGACCCGAGAACAGCGCGGCTCGATTTCATTGGGTGCATCCCTCACCGCACTGGTTGCTTGTGTCTGACCGACGCTTGCTAAACGCAAGGGTGATGCCTGGCGCTTATCAACTATTTCCGGGCTCATGAATGTACCTACCCAACCAGCCCGAACCCCGCCCCCAAGATTGCCCTTTCACCCCGAATCCACTTTACACAAACTTGCGACTTTGCGAATCGCGACAGCCACAAAACCCTCCCTCGCCTCTCCCATTTGCTGCTTTTCAACCCAACCCCATTTACAACCAAGGCAAGCCTGCGACTAGATCGAAGATCCAGCCAATCACCAGCAGCTCGATTGAGGCAAAGCACAGTACTCCACAGACCATTCCATTCCGTGTTGCGAGAAATTCAATTGTCAACGCATGGGTCTAGTGAATCAATCCAACCACCGACGCCTGGCTGCTTTGCTCCATTGCCTCTTCCTCCTGCTGACTCACACACCCTGGGCGCTGGAATCTCGCGAAACTCTTGCACGAGGTCCAGTCTCATAAGACCATCGCCTTTCGCACAGAAGGCCACGCATTTCCCAATCTTCCCTCACAAGTCTCTCGAGCAGCCACGTTTCCCAATTCCAACACGACAACCCCAGCACAGCTGTGAAGACTGTCCCTCCCAGCCCAGCCATACCAAAGATTCTTCGTTTTGCTTGATTTTCTTTGGAAGCGAGATAGTGGCAGCCATACGTAACCAGCAAGTCTTGTTCATTATTCTTCTTGCCGACCGAGGCCGAAAGTACTTGTTTTAAAAGTTTGTTCTCCACCTTCCTATTTCGCCACATACATCGCAAGCAACCTTCTGTACACGTAGGGTTCCAAACAATCCTTTCCTGCAGTCCTAAACGATTTTCGTAGTCCTTTTACCTCTTACTAAATAGTCGGAAGTTCCGGGTGTAAGAATGGACGTGCCGTCGCTAATGTCGAGTAAAAAGGAAGTGCGCGAGAGCGAATCGACCATATCACTCGACTCGCGGATAAACGACGAGGAAAAAGCATCGTCGTTCTGCTCGTCAGGCAGCGAAGATAGCACGGTACGTGCGCGAGGGTGGAGCTCTATTTTCATTTTCACCAGAGCAGTCTAATGCCAGGCCCGAGACTGATGCCATCTTCACTCTTCAACGTCTCTTAGCCGCAATAACGTCTCCGAATAACTATATCCAAAGTCTCCTGTTCACAGCACCGTCTTCCGTCATTAGCGGGTCGCTCTTAAGCCGCCCGCTGATGAGGCTCTGACTTCTTCGCTTCTCTTAACCCCGTTCGACACTTTCATCCTCCCCGTGCGCGCCGCACCATTTCCTTTGGCCCTCAACCAACGGAATAGAAAGAACAGAGAAAATCACCAAAGCCGTATTATCCCCACGTATCCGCGTGAAATTTCGTTTTCCTTGTTGGCTAGGTCAGTTCAATACTGCCACTGCGTTCGCCAGCCTTGATACCCCACGTGACCACGTCCCACCTCGCCTTTCTGCTTCAATTCTTTCGCCTATTAGACACACCTTCCTTGTCTCTTTCGCCTATTAGACAAGCCGTACGCGTTTATGAACGTTCCCGTTCTTTCTCTTCCGTTTCTGTACGATCGTGTCCTGATTTTTACAGGAAGAAGAAGACATCGCGTTACCACCGGACAGCAAGCTCGTCGTCAAGATTGACGGAAAAGATGACGGGAAACTCGAGGAGGACGACGGCAAGCCAGAACCGTCGAAGAGAGATGCAGGCGTCCGGACATGGTTCGGGATGCCGTGGTGGCAGTGCGCTTTATTCGCGGGAGCCATGGCTTTCGTTCTCTTCCTCATCGTCTTCGGCGCTGTTCTCCTCGGCCTCGCGCTTTCCTTCCACTGTGACGTAAAGTCTGCCTCTCCTGCCCCACCTGGTTCCAGTGTGTGTGTTTGATTTTCTTTTTTGCGCATACAGCATGGCTTCTCTATTTCCTTTCGGCGCTGGTCTCCTCGGCCTCGCGCTTTCCTTCCACTGTGACGTGCGCCTTTCTTATCGAGGAAAATATCACCTCGTCTTAACTTTCATCTCTTCTCGTCTCCTTCCCCTTACCTTTCACTTTCCGCCGCGCGTCACCCGACTCCGCCACGACAGGACGTGGTAATTCGAGTAGACAGCCTCGATTTCCACAACATGTCGTTTTCGCAACAACCCTCGGAGTCGGGCGACAAGACGCTGCTGCTGAACGCGCGGCTAAACGCGTCGGCGAATGTCTTCAACCCGAACGGAAACACGATGGTGGTGGAGCAGCTGTTTGTCGCGATCGACGGCATGGATCGTCCCATGACGAATGTCACGGTACGGTTCGCATGGCACGCGACGTGTAATTGTAACTTGGTAACGTTTATGTTTGACTGTCCGCCACGAACCCCTTGCTCCCTGCTACCTCCGCGCACCCGCGAAAATAACGCTGTCATAAGTTCCGCGAAATCAAGCAGCAGCTGGCATTCACGCTCTCCCTCCCCGCGGCAATCAGGGGTGTTATCCTACCAACATATGTGTTGGTCCAATCGCGGCGCCGCGTTTGCTTGCGCTTACTTGCCCTCGTTTTCCCTGCGTACTATGATATCCTACCCCGCAAACCCTAACAGCGGCCCGGATTCACGCTCGACCCGAGGGGCAACATGACGCAAAACATCGAGTTTGCGGTTACGGGTTACCCGTTGTTCACTATCGCAGCCAATGAGAGCCTGCTGCGGCTCTCGGACAAGACCAAGAATCTGCCGTTCAAGGTGGGTTACACTTTTCGCGTGTGACACTTCACAGGTTAATTTTGAAACCTTGCAATGTAAGCGCGTTGGCTGCTTGGATTGGATCAATCAGTTTGCCGCTTGGGGTGCACGGTAAAATAGTATACATGTGTAGTGTTGATATAACTTAATCAGGGTTCCTTCACTGTGGCGTGAGTGCTTGGCATGCTGCTTTCTCTTGAGATTTGACACCCCACATCCCCTCCAACCTATTTTTCTCCCCTCCCCTCCCTGCTCACTGTGCCATGCTTCTCTGGTACAGATGACGGTGAAATCACTAGGGCATGTTATCTATCATGGCTTTAACACCCCCTCGTATTATGTAAGCCTCAGTTGCCTTTTTTTATAAATCTGTCTGGGTATGACCCATCTTTCCGTGCTTCATATGTTCTCCATCCCACTTCATGTGTCACTGCATTGTGGTTTAGTTGCTTCTCTCTTTGTGAAATTCCTCTCGCATCACCTTACTAATTTCTTCCTTCTCTTCCCTCACCTCATCTTCTGTTGTGCTGTATTCTGCGATACTGTACCGTGCAGTACACGTATTCATGCAATGTGACGTTCACTCCTGGGGAACAGGGTGTACACATCCTGTCATGCCACAAATTAAGAGTCAAGGCATGAGCGGCAGCAGCAGCAGCAGCAGCACCAGCAGCAGCAGGGAAAGAGCAATTTCATTCTTTTTTGTATCCGTAAACGTCAACAGGCATATCAGCTGCTGCAGCAGCTGAATCGAATGCATCAGGTTCCTCTGGTGGTTTCCAGGCTTCCTACTCGGCAATTGTGAACCACACTGGGTGCTAGCTGTTCAAATTAATTCCTTGCTCGGCGCTGACGTTGGCAGCAGCAGCAGCAGCAGCGACAGCAGCTGGCAGCAATGAGCAGTTGCTGGTGGCAGCAAACAGCACGGCACCGGCAGTGTTAGGTGTAAGCAGCATAATTGCTGCATGCCACCCTGTACTCAGAACCATCCACTTCACCATCTAGTCTGCAGCTTCAGGATATGAGTCACTGATTTTGTGGCTTCCTAAAATCTTCACTTTTTCAGTTGCACTGTACTCGTGCAAGACGAGGTGCATTAGCTTGGCATTGATTTTGGAAGGGTAAATGAGACTGGTACTCTTCACTGCAGCTCATCATATCTAACCTTGTGGTGTACTGTCTAATAAATTATTGATTTGTTATGGTATGTGCATGAATGACCATATCTACATGAAACTTCAATGGGAAATCAAATTACTGGGTTCCATTCAGTAGTGCGAGCGAGATAACAGATTTACCCTTCATACTAGATACTGATAAAACCAATATCGAGAATGCTTATATGAATATCTAATTCTTCGCGGGGGCACTAGGCTGATAACTACCTGCGGTTCTACCCTAATCTTCTAAAATCCTGTAGTTATCTTTCGAGTTATTCTCTCTACTCCTCTAGTGAAGGAAAATTGCCACGTCATGTATGTCTCTAGCAGGGGTGCTCATCCCAGTGCCGCCATGCCGACGTGGGAATCACCCTCTGCCAGGTCAGCTTATCCCTCTGCTGGCATGGCGGCATACAGCGATCAGGCGACCCTTCCAGATGTTTCGTACGCGAATCCCGCGTTTGTGGAACCTCACGTTGCAGCACCTCCCGTTGTAAGCTCCTCGGCCTTTGGGTTTCAGGGGGGGAATTCGTCTCGCCACGTCAGCGTGACAGCTCCACCGATGGAGCCCGCAGGACCGTCCGATGCGGATTTCGCTCCGAAATCCATGGACGAGCGTTTTCAAAGCATCTTGGCGAAGAGAAATCGCCAGGTTCGGGCTACTGAGGCCGCGGCTCGGCAGGCAGCGGCGCGTCAGGCTCGGATCGCGTCACAGCGGCAGATTACTGTAGAAGACGTTCACGCCGTTGCGAACATGGCACCGCATTTCCCGCCGCGTTTTACGGCGCATGCTCCGGTGGCGGAAAACGCGGTTGCGAGCTCGAGACAGTATGAGGCGGGTGCTGCTGCTTTTGTTCAGGCAGCAGATCCGTTATTGGACAACTCGTTTGTAGGCTACAGAGGTAGAATCAGTGAGAGTGCGGAGGAGGATGAGGAGGAGATGGAAGATGGGATTGTAGATGACTACAACAAAAGTGACTATAGGCGCCTGGCTAAAGGAAAACAGGCCACGCTGGCACCTGGCGGCTCTAGCAACCCGACACGTCACACCTCCGATCCCGCTGGCAGACGCTCAGCCAATCACAGCGCTCCCCCGGCCAAAAGTCCATCAGCATCCGCCGCGAAAGCCGCAGCTGCCGCCGCGTTGGCTGGTAGTCGCAGCAAGAAGAACTCACAAACGGTGGCTGACCAGGGGAGGGAATCTGATAGGCACAATCCTGGTCGCGTTAAGAAGAATTCTCTTCCCCCTCAGCTTCCTCCTGCCCATGCTCGTTCTGCTGATCGTTCTCGCCGTTCCCCCAACGCTGCTGCTGGTCGGGTCGAGAGGCCAGGGTCAGGGAAGGCTGCGGCTGGCGCTGTACTCGATAAGAGCGTCCCCGCTAAGAGAGTACCGGTGAAGTCGCGGCTTCGTGTTCCTGTACACATGAGACTGTCGTTTGAAGGCTCGGATTCCAAGCCTTCCCGAGCTGCTGCAGCAGCAGGAATAGCACCAGCAGCAGCAACGGGAGTAGCAGCAGCAGAAACACCACTTCACTTGGTTCCCACTGCTGGAATCTTGTCTCTTCCTCCTCATGTAACCCCTCTTGTCCCTCCTGTTACCCCTTTTGTCCCTAGTGGAGTAATGACGGCCTTTCACCCGTCGCTTCCCACTCCCTTTGTTGCTGCTCCCACCGGCCCTCTCCTTCCCAACCCGGTGCTCTTTCGGACCGTACCTGTGCCTGTTGGAGGTTTGGTCGGAGGTTTGGTGTCTCCAGACCCTAGGTATAGGTTCGGTGCAGGAAGGGTTGGGGTAGGGGGGCAGGGAGGGGGAGAGGGGAGAGAAAGGAGGGGGCATGGCTCTGGGCAGGGGAAATGGAGTGAGAGAGGGAATGTTAGTGTGGCATCAAAAGCTGCATTAGACGATGAACTTGAGTCTTATATGGCTGAGAAGTACAAGGGAAAGGGAGAGAGATGATGATGTAGCGCTGTGCGGGGTGAAGTGGAAGAGGGAGGAGGTGTGCACTGGAGATTGCAAGAGGGAAGGGAACAAGTGGTGGAAGATGGGAGGGGGGTCCAAAGAGGACATGTGGGCATGAGGGAGGGTGGGCCATGTGTTCGTATGGAAACTTGATTCGGTGTGCCCATGTGTTCTGGAGAGTCTGGTTTAGTGGCTTCACAACAACTTGATTACAAATTGATTTGTTTTCAAAGTTGTGGCTTACCTAGGTTACGATCACCTTATAATGTACAGCTTCTCGTGATTCGTACAATCGGTAACGGGCATGTCGGCGAAACTTGTGAACGAATTCCCCGCGCTAAAACGGGAATTATCGCAAAGAATTGAATGGTCGGACGGTCGAGAGCACACCATTCTCCAACTCAATCAAACATGCGGGAATTGCGTTGCTCGCGATTCGCGGTCGAAATCCACCCAACGCGTAAATTTGCACATTCCACCCAACTCGAGTCTGTGTGTACGTTGCGATTTTGGGGTCCCAGAACTCGAGCCTTGTTCCATACTAGTTGATCTCGCCTTCCCTTCCATTTCGCATTCGCTCTAGTTGTCAAAAATACATAGAGATTCCATCTGAACAAAAAACCCCATCTTGTAGCATCTTCTTGACGCATCCGCCAATGGAGCGTCTGGATGAATTTCTTGAGCCTAAATCGATGGACGAGCGCTTCCGAAGCATCTTGGCGCAGAAAAACCGCCAGGCCCGTCGTGCCGAGGCTGCGACTCGGCAGGCAGCGGCGCGTCGCGCTCGAATCTCTTCTCAGAGGCAAATTGTCGTAGAGGTTGATCAATCTGTCGCCGAAAGGGCGCCGCATATTCCGCCGTCTGGCCCGGCACATGTTTCCACACATCACGGGGAGCGCACGCACCACGAGGAGCGCACGCACTACGGGGAGCGCGCGCACCATTACGGGGAGCGCGCGCACCACGAGGAGCGCACGCACGAGCGCACGCACCACGGGGAGCGCATGCACCACGGGGAGCGCACGCCCCACGGGGAGCGCACGCATGTCCATTTCGCGGATACTCCGTTTCGCGGTCACCGTGATGGACTCTCACGGGCTGTAAACACTGTTAAAGAGGAACCTTATACCGAGGATACGAAGCACAAACCCAAGGTTTGGGCCGAACCTGCTGGCGTAGGCTCGTTCAATTACAGGGCAGCAGGCACCCCGCCAGCCGTGCACGCTTCCAGAATGGCCGACGCGAAGGCCGCCGCAGGTGGCGGTTTGGCTGGCAAAGGATCGTATCCTCACCGTCCATTTCACCACCCGTCTGAGGTTCCAAGATTTTCTTACGACGCTCCTCCATCGCGGAAAAGGAAAATGTCTAAATTGGTGGTCCGAAGGTTTTTCTACGAAAAGCTTGCGGTTTTGTTGCGCAAAGCGTCCAAAAACCAACGACCCGAAATCTCAAATTTCCGTACACCATTTCCGTACGTTTTCACTGGCGCCAAAAAGTCACGCGAAAGTGACTTGAACATCAGGTCTACGGTTCCACACGGTCCAAAACGATAACCTGCGGTTACACACAGTAGCATCGATTGTCAGGTGGAAGAACTGTATTCGCGAAATCAGCACAACCCCACGAACGCTAGCGAGGTTGTAAACATGGATACCTAGCTTTCGGGAAATATCACATCTGAACCTCAACCACCCAACCCAGGTGACGTGTTATCAAGTACAATATTTAACAACGAATCATAGTTCTTGCTGTAAATCTTGAAGCAATCTACACCCTCCGTTCCGTACACGTCAGCACATCGAACCAAACTAGCCGTCCACCTAATATGCAGGCCCCCCGCCACCCCAGCTTCCCCTACCCGCCATTCCCCACAACGCCTCCATTCCTCCCACACAAATCCCCTCACCCAACCCATAACTTCATTCTCAATTTATATTTTCAATTTCTGAACACCGCTCCTCGAGTTCCCGCAAACTAGATCTACTTGTACTAGATTTCCATGTCATTTTCTGCTCTCTCCGGCGTTCCATTTTTACAAGCGATCTCATAATCTTTTTCCCTTTAAAACCGCTTGCCTGAATCCAGTCTAGTTACCTCCCCCTTCCTCTCGCAACCTCCAACTTCCCTTTGCAGGTCGACGATTTTCAGCGTTTTCAAGGACGATGTGCGTGCACCAAGTTGACGCTGCGGAGCATTTTCGGCAGCTGCAATTATCCGTCACGAAAGGTATTATTATCCCTGGTTATGTATCCGATTTTCATATACGACATGTCAATGTCACGTTCCACGTGTTCCGGTTTGGGTTTAGGAACCATCTTCGCGAAGTCCTCCGATAGTTTTCACGTGCGTGAAACTGTGAGAGGCGGAGATGATAACGGAACCTCCCACTCCCAAGTGCAGATCGGAGTCTTCCAGTCTTAGCGCGGATGACAGACGTGCTATCGATGCGAAAGCGCCGGTTCAGCAGATTTATAAGTGAAAATAGGTATTTGTATTGCTGGTGAGGTAGACGGGTTCAGCAGATT